GAGGTATATGTTTTCCATCAAGATCTTGTACTTGTATCGTCTTCTTCAGTTTGAATAGCTTTAGAAGTGTTTTTGGCCTCTGTATATGGGGAACGTGGAGTTGGTGACTACATGTTTGGCTACTAAAAGAAAAATGTTACATGAAGTAGAGACCGTTAATGAAACAAAAAGTTCAGTTTCAGCGTCCCAGCCCAACGTGGAGTCTTTGTCTTATGGGGCTGATATAAGTGTTTGACCAGTAAAATGTTACTTCATGGTGCAGGTTCGTGTATGCAGGGAAAAGACGACTGGTTCTGTATATGCCATGAAAAAGCTAAAGAAATCAGAGATGCTTCGTAGAGGCCAGGTAATTGGTTTATTGTTCTTCCATTCAAATTACTGAGGTAATTACAACTGTATTTAATGCCATTTGCTTTATATTATGTTTAGGTAGAACATGTCAAGGCTGAAAGGAACTTACTTGCTGAGGTGGACAGCAATTGCATTGTCAAGCTGTACTGTTCGTTTCAAGATGATGACTATCTTTATCTTATAATGGAATACTTACCGGGAGGAGATATGATGACTTTGCTTATGAGAAAGGATATTTTGACTGAAGATGAAGCTAGATTCTATGTTGCCGAAACAGTTTTGGCTATTGAGTCTATCCATAAACACAATTACATTCATAGGTTTGTTGTACAAATTCACAATTCACACTGATTTTTCTGACAAATTTGGCAACAGAAATTTATTGGACTGTGAAATGGAGGTTAACCTAGTCTCTTTTGCATATAACAGGGATATTAAGCCTGACAATTTGCTACTCGATAGATATGGACACTTGAGACTGTCAGATTTTGGGTTGTGTAAACCTTTAGACTGCAGTACTATCCGAGAAGATTTTTCAGTAGCACCCAATGCTAATGATGCTGCACAGAATGATGAACGTCCTGCAGCTCCAAAACGAACACAACAAGAGCAACTGCAACATTGGCAGAAGAATAGGAGAATGCTTGTAAGTTATATACCACTATGCAATCTAATATCTGCTTGAGAGTAGATAAAAGATGAACTGATTCTTTGTGGATGCACAGCGTTGTCATTTATGACCTTTTTTGTAGAATGTTGAAAATCTGTCATTCCTTAAATTGTTGATATATGCCTATTGCAGGCTTATTCGACTGTTGGTACCCCTGACTATATTGCTCCAGAAGTTCTGTTGAAAAAAGGTTATGGGATGGAATGCGATTGGTGAGTATTATGCATTTTAGCAATAGGATGTTTGAATGTTTAACACCAATGAATTAATTCCAATATGTTTTAAATATCAATTGAGATCTCTTTACATAGACTCCATTTTTGTTAATCAACAATCAGTTGGAGAATCATGTGACATACGATCGCTATTTTTACCATATACTTCATTTTTGTTAAATCAACAATCAATTGGAGAATCATGTGGCATAACAATCACTACTTTTAGCCTTTTATATTTTAATGGGACCATTTTTGAAATTGGTGTACCATATCACTTTTATGGACCATAAACTGAAGAGCCACCTTGTTTTTCGATGCCTGGATTGACCGAGTTGTGATTTTTGTTGATACACAGGTGGTCACTTGGTGCTATTATGTATGAAATGCTTGTGGGTTACCCACCCTTCTATTCTGATGATCCAATGTCAACATGCAGGAAGGTAAAGTTTAGAAATATTGAAAGTCAGATTGTTCTCTTTTAAAAAGTCTCAACCATAATTCCCTTGGGCTTTTTGTGTGTGGCTTGTGACGTCTTATTTCACCATTTATCCTATCCTATTTTCCTGATGTTTTCGGTCTTGCTCATCTCTTGTAGATTGTAAACTGGAAAACTCATTTGAAATTTCCTGAAGAAGCAATGCTATCTCCAGGGGCAAAAGATCTTATTAGTAAACTTTTGTGTAATGTCAACCTAAGGTTGGGAACAAATGGCTCAGATGAAATAAAGGTGTTGTATGGTGTGTCCTGTTCTAAGTTTCTTTGATTTGCTCATGAACTTGTTGCATATAATGGGAATTACCTTGCTGCTGATTCCTATTTCAGGTTCATCATTGGTTCGATGGGACCGAGTGGGATAAGCTTTATCAAATGGATGCTGCATTTATTCCTGAGGTCAATGATGATTTGGATACTCAAAATTTCGAAAAGTTCGATGAGGTATAGATGTCCCTCAGTTTTTGTGCATTTTGTCACGCTATTTGTGGTGAGTATATCATGTTGCTCATAGTTTGATGAATACCTATTTCCGTATGCAGGCTGACCATCAAACTCAGAGTTCATCCAAAACTGGTCCCTGGAGAAAGGTAAAATTATGATTTTTATTCTTTTCACTCAGCTATTGTCACCAATTTATGTATAGAATTTGTCACCATTGTTTGTTATATAACTCGCCCTACAAGCTACCCCTACCGCACCCCTAAATCTTTCCAAATTTTCCCCTAATATTTTTCTCTCCCCATTTTGCAGATGCTCTCTTCTAAGGACATTAATTTTGTAGGCTATACCTATAAAAACTTCGAAATTGTTAACGATTATCAAGTGCCTGGGATGGGTATACCTCTTTCTATCTTCCATGAACTTGCTGGAGAACCTTATCGTTCGTTATATATTGGTATCAGTTTCGAAGTTTTCTACATACGTGGCATATACATGGATTTTTTTTATGGTTCATGTCACGCAATGTATGAGTAAACCCGAAAACATGTGATCTTTGGTATGGCAATTTTCTGTTTTATGTAAACTTGGGTGTCTTCTTTCTATGTAGCCTCGTTGAAGAAGAAAAACGCCAAATCGAAACGACCATCTGTAAAAACACTCTTTGGTAAGTACATATATTGCTGCCCAGCATTTAAAGTTTTAATCCAGGATTGGGCAAATGTCTTTTACATTTCTCACCTTTTTGTGTTCACTTGATGCAGATGAAGAGTCAGAGAAGTCTGAGACATCAGAAACATCCGATAGCGGCAGCAGTCATCATGTGCAAGGGAGCTTTTTGAACCTCTTGCCCCCCCAATTAGAAGTATCTCAAAACCGGGAGGAGTCTTCCTGACCTGACCAATCCATCACACGGACTAGGAGCTTGTTCCCAATTGCATTTCGGCTTTCAAGTGGCAAAGTATACAATTCTCAGACGCTGCCTTCTACGCCTGTATTTTTCCGTGGCTATACCGGCTGGAGCTTCGAGGTTTCGAACAAAAACTCAAGAGGCTCTTGAGGCCTGAAGAAAGGTAGTGCAGTTTGAAGCCACTAATTCTAATTGAGCCTTTTTCTTGGACAAAGCATCCTGTAAGTTTTCTCTGTCTTGAAAGATGAAAGTAAAACTGAAGAGTAAATATTACCCAAATTCAATTTACCACAACTAACGTGTAATTCTTGATGTAATTCTACCAAAATATTGTACAAACACACTCGAATTTGTTCGCGGTATACATGTGCTATTCACTTTATTAACTAATGACACCAATGTACGCGTGTTTTTTACTTATCAGCAATTAATGTCAATGAAATTTGAACTCGGAACCTCATTTAACGTGGTGGAAATTGAGTTGTCTGACCAAACGGTCATTAAGTTAATCTTTCTCTTCTTTGAATTTTGTCCTTCTAATCTTTTACTTTATAAATGATTCTATCAAATTGGAAAAAGCACCAACTGAATTGGTTACGAATTTCAGTTGGTTGTGAACTTTTAATCATAAGTAGTATTGGAAGAATTTGTAATTGGTTTTATTTGAATGTATCTTTCCGATCAAATTTATTTGAACGAATGACGCCACCTTATGTCATGCTTACTGTGACTATGTCGTGTACTGTATATTATATTTTTCATTTATTTAATTTATTGTTATCTTTCAGTCGAAAACATAGAGAGTATAACGATTTCGTAGAATGCACGTCAACTGGGAATCTCATTGGAGGCCAAATGAATTTAGGGCATAATTTGAAAATTTTCTCCAATTACGGATAATATTATTATTCTTCCTGGTGGGGCTGTGTTTGCTCCAAGTTTGCCGTATGGCGACTACATAGACTATAGGGCCGTTTGGTACGCAGACGGGATGAGATGGGACCGAACAAGACAGGACGGAATAGTGGTTTCATGTGATGTTTGGTATGCGCATGACAGAACGAGAGAGTTGTTCCGTTTTGCGTTTGGTAAGCGCAGGACGGAACGGAACCAAAACATTAAAATGACTAACTTACCCCTCTTCCGTCTGTTGTTTGGTACAATGTTTGGGACGGGATGGAACACTTTTTTTTTTTCTTCTTCTTCTTGCTGCTGCTTATCTATGATATATTTTGTACACTATACTTGGATGTGTTCGTATTTCATACTATGTATAACAGAAAACAAAAGACATATATTCGTACTTTGTTGCTCATATAATTAATTTAGTGGGATAATACGTCAATTAATTTTATGTGATTTAAAAAAAAATAATAGGGTGAGAGCATGCCATTGACTTGGCACTTGGCACATGGCAGTGTAGCCACAATATGTATATGGTTATGTATTACATATGAAGAGGTTGGCATGGTAGAACAACCGTTGATGCAATGGCTATGTTGGAATCTTTGACACAATCTGCTTTCATCTCTTCGTCATCACATTGAAATGCAAATTGTATCAAACAATATGTATATTATAAGTTGAGCTGTGAGACAATTGGATGTATATGGCATTGGTTGTCATGCAAGGATGAAAAATATATAAGTTTAATGATATTGTCTTGCTAAAGCAATAAACATGAAATATTCAGAACTTAAACATGAAATCCCAAATTAAACATTCGTCCTGACTTCAGAAAAAAAAAAAGAAAGATAATGTCTTACTAAACCCCAGAAGTTGATGTAGTTCATATCATACTAAACCCCTTAATGCTCAATGCCATCCATATACATTTTAATGAAATCTGCCTTGTGAGAGTCATTCAAGGTACACCAAATACTCATCATATCAGTATATTTCACTAATTTCATTAAATTCTCAGCACCTGATCATATAGGAGACCCATGGTTTGAAGCTGGGAAGGTAACCTAGCTAACAGCTACAATATTTGCATCAGCATCATTCTTATTCCTCTTCCTCTTCCTAGTAGGTTGAGATGCACTTGATGTACCAATAGAAGGAGATGGGGTAGGTGAAGTCGGAGGCATCTCGAATGTCTCATCGCCATCCTCATTTTCCAATCCCATATTTTCGATTGCATATGATGCTGATTCAGCCGTACTACCCGTGGCTTGGTCTCTCCCAAACATTGTACACAAGTGTGGATACAACGGAAATAGCTTATTTGGTTTGTAAGATGCATTAGGATGTTTCTACAATAAGAACCCAAAGAAATCAAAGTTATGACTTTTAAAGCAACTAATTGAAAAAGAATAAGAAACAAAATGTACCTTCACCCACAACTGAAGTACATCGTCACTATCCACAACAACACATTTTTTTTCGTCATCCCAACCAAATCCAGAGGTATTCATCATGTCATATGCAAATGAATACTTTTCTTTTAGACGCTTTAGCTTGTTTTGTATATGCTTTGGCTCTATATTAATGCCTAGAATCATCTCCCTCATCTTCATGGCAACCATTACAAATGTACCAGCCTTAAAACTGCTGGTCTCACACCTAACACCATCAACTACCATCTCCTCGAGGATGGTAAGCAGTACATCCTCATCATGATCATTCCAATTACGTGAGGTGACCATATAATTTATCAAAGAAGCCATAATATTACATATGTAAAACAAAAAAGCATATTGTTAGTGGAGAAAACATGATGCAATTAAGTGAATATCTGCCTACAACTTTTTACAAAGCTAAATTACTTCTTAGTGGAAAAGGTAATCCAGTAACAATATATATGATCAATTAAAAAGCAAATCTAGTAAACAATAAATATGTTTTTTTTTTCACTGTTGTTTTGGGCAGTATTGCAACTCTTTGGTTTTCATATGCAGCATCACTGATGCAGCATCAGTAGGTGCAGCATCACTGATGCAGCATCAGTAGGCTGAAGGCATCAGTGATGCAACATCAGTAGGTGAAGCATCAGTATTAGCTAGTAAGACAACTTACGACAAGTAAGGGGACTAAAACGAAGAAATGAAAAGGCCATTGTAACCAACGTTTTTTTGTCTTTTATATTCATATGCTTGACTCTACAATACGAAGAAATGAAAAGGCCATTGCAATCAATTTGCTGCAAGTTATTTTGCTAAATGTTTATTCTCTGTCTTTTACTTTATTGTTAGTATTTTCTTCTTGCTGATAATTTGAGCAATAAAAAACAAACATCTCAATAGTCTTCAAATAATAAAAAACAATTACAGCAATCATCTCAGTAAAATGTCATCAAACAATAAAAGACAATTACAACAACTACCATGTCAACCAATTTTCAAGCCCTCCTTCCTCTCCACTCATCATATATTTCTCTTGCAAGATCATCCCTCCATTAAGTCCATGTCTGGCTTGACTCAACGGTTTCAATGTAAGCTAATACTTCTGGTAAATCTTCCCCTATAGGCAATTCATCAAATGCAACCGCCATATACATTCTGATAAAATTATGAAGTAAATTACATGCGGTGATCATTCGTCCCTGAATCTTGATTAGATAGTAAGAAGGACTTCGCAAGATAGCCCAACGTCTTTTGAGGAGGCCAAAACATCTCTCAATGACATTCCTAGCACATGAGTGTTTCATATTAAAATATTCTTCATGACTCCTAGGTGCACGTGAATTGTCTTCCCACTCTTGCAAATGGTATCTAGTGCCTCTATACGGTGCCAGAAAACCCTCACCATTCGTATATCCAGAATCAACCAAATAGTATGTACCTATATTAGTTGATAATAAATTTTAGTTCTTGGCCAACAAAAGTAAGGAAGAATACTAGATACTTGTCTATCTTACCGGTTGGGACCTTGAGGCCATTAGTTCTAGTAACAGCGTCACCAAGAACTTTTGAATCAGTAGCTAATCCTTCCCAACCGGATAACACATATACGAATTTGAGGTCATGTGTGCATACACCTAACACATTAGTTGCTATATGACCTTTCCTTGTTCTATATCTTGGTCTATCAACCTCAGGCACAGTGACCTCTATGTATGTTCCATCTAGCGCTTCTAAGCAACCCTAGACAAAAGAAAAACTTATATTAATTACCAACTACAAATAATTTTGTTATTAATGATTTTACTATGATGCTTACCTTAAAGCATTTCCATCTCAATTCCGTGCAATCCTCTGGGATAGGAGTTGGTTTTGCAAAAAACACGTCTTGCAAATTGAGCAACGCACACAATACTCTGCTAATATACCGACTAATAGTTTCACTAGACCTAATGAATCTAACTTGCATTGACCTGTTTTTATTGTGGTGGGCTAATATGTTAACAAAAGTAGCTACTTACTCCTCTATTGTAACATGACCATCATCTACCAACCCATCACGAATTTGTAGTAAATCACATAAAGCTGCAAATGCATTCTTATCCACTTGCAGCTCCCACAAACAGTTAGTATCACTCAATAGTATCACTCAATTGTGTGATACGATTTATTTCCTCTCTCCTAACATAAAGGCTAACAAATGTCCTCTGCTCTAAACTAGCTATTTCCCGTTGTCTCCATTGTTGTTGTCTATACCTCAACAATTGTGCATTCATAGTAAAGACTTGTGCCATTATAATCCAAACGTTCAAAAGAACAAAGAATTGAGTCTCATATTCATCTATACCTTCACCTGCAAAAAAACAACACATGAATGAATGGAGCATCAACATAAGCTGGATTCAATTACAAGCGTATGATTAAATGGTAAAATAAAGTGGAGCTTCATATCCTAATTGCAATTCTTAAAGTGTAGCATCAACTTTGTCATGCACTGAAAATCTGAGTGCAGCATCAGTAGGTGCAGCATCATTGATGCAACATTAGTAGGCTGAAAGCATCAATAGGTGCAACATCAGTATTAGCTTGTAATGTAATTAGTGAAGTTTCTAATTTGTGATTACCTAAAAACTAAGTTAATTAACATCTATAGTTTAATCACTGTCAGAACAAGCAAACAAATTAGACGTCACAAAGATGCTTGGATTTCACATATGGATGGGGTTGCAAATTGTAAAATTTTGCTAAATTATCTTTGAGCAATTTCTTTGCCATTCAAGATCATGTTATGTTTGTGTTGGTCTCTCTAAAATTTCTTCATTAAACATGTTATAAAGAAAATGGATGAAGATGAAACAAAGTCTCGTCTTTCTTTGCATTCTACAATTGCTCATGATAAATTAAGAATTGGATATATCCATGAAATTTCCAAGTTGGAACTAACCTTGCCCTTTATTCCTAACAAACAGTACCTGCATTTTTACCCCTTTAATATGTTCTTGCATTTATGATGCAGTTCGGAGTTCACTATGGTGGAAAGTTTTATGAATTAGTAAGCAATTATTTGTTTACAAATTCGAAAACGATTGATTCGCTTAAGTTCCTAATCAGAATAACATAAACATTCACATTAATAAAGAACTTAAAATGGTATGAACCTCCAACTGTTTACATCTTCCCATCTTGTGTAAAAATAAACACCACGTATGGGTTATTCCACTGGATGATATCCATTTTTAGACCTACCACTTCACCCAACAGATGGGTTCCTCCACTAACAGTATAAAAAAGTTTTAAATTACAATTAAACTTACTATTTTGTATCTTCATCTCCCACTTCGTGTTCTCTCTTTCTCATGACAAACCAAAAACACAAACTTCCTAAAATTGGAGTCATTTCACTCCTCCTTGAAACAATTTTTAATTTTTCTGTTGCTGCAGTAGAGCAACCTCCCTTATCACAAAACCTCAAATAAATAAATAAATAAATAATTAGTACAAAAGACCCTAGCCATTTTTCTCTTCCACCCTTGCTCTCCTGTTTCTCTCTCCCCCTATGAAACTCTAGCTTTTCCCCTTCCTAGAAATCAAAAACTTTTAACCCAAGCAACTATCCTCAACAATCATATACATTGGTGAGGGGAATCAAAATCGAGCACTACGATTCTTTGTTCAATTAAAATAGTCACTGTGTTTTTTGTTTAACATTTAGAAGGTCAATGTATAGAAAACTAGATATAAAATGACTGTATTTTGAGCAGCAATGAACCAACAGAGGAAAATCCAACAGAGAACCCAATCCAACAGAGGAAAATCCAAAACATGTAACCCAATCCAATCCAACAGAACCCAAAGACATCATATTTATAGATTTCAGCACATAAAAATTGAAACTTGAACATTGAAAAAAGGAATCCAGATAGAGAGATACCTTTGAATGTAGTACTACTCAATAGGGGGAGTGGAAGCAGATAAACAGGGCAGATCTTTGGTTGTAGATGCAGTATTAGGAAGATCGAAGCACTACAAAATACAAAGAAATCAAAACAAGCAAATCAGAAAAGAATACAAAGAAATTGAAGCACTACAAAATACAAAAAAATTCAACAAAATTAGGAACTAGGTGTTAATGAAATCGAAACAAACAAATCAGAAAAGAATAATAATGCCACTTCAAATTTACATCAAAATTAATTAAAGTTAAGATTGGAGGATTTGTAAGAGTATGGGGTTTAGTTTCAACAGTTGTTGCATGGATGGTATGGGGTTTAGTTTCAATCAGTCCAAGTGGGTAGGGTTTCCGACTGCGATACTCCAAAAAGTGGTACGAGGATTGAAAGCTACATAGATACTCAAAGCAATAGCAAACACCAAACCAAGAGAGAAACAAAAGGTACTACAAAATACAAGGAAAGAAAGACCGAGAGGCTACACAATCACAATCAGATCGAACCTGGAACGGAGATGCAGAGCTGAAGTTCATGGATAAGAGGATGATGAGGAAGGTTGCGAAGGGGAGATGCAGGGATGAAAAAGTTCATAGCGGCAGAGAAGAGAAGATAATAGTTAGGGTTTGTTGTATTATTTAGATGGTGTAAATATTGAAAAAGCTAAGGGGTATTTTTGTCTTAAAATTTTATGATTTTTGTGTTCCACGAGACGGAACGACCAGTTCCAGGGGGGAGGTGGAATGAAAATTTAACCTATTTTTGTTCCGTGGGACAACACGTTCCACATAATTTAGCGCACCAAACATGGGACGGAATGCGTCCGTCCCATCCCACGTACCAAATGCGCCCATAGAGTCACCATCAGTCAGCAACCATTCCTGTATTAAATAATACAATAATTTTCACTTTACTATACTAAAGTATCGTGGTTTTTAAACTTTTACACATTAAGTTTTTTTCATCCCAATCTCATACCTAACATGAAAATTGTGGGACACTTTCATACTTCCGTGAGTTTGATATTTAACTTTTCTGTTAATTGATGACATAGTAGAATTTGACACACAAGTTCATGCCATGTAGGCTCACATATTAATTAAATAATAAAAATTAACTTTACAATAATTTGAGAATAAAAATGCTTGTAAATACAAAAATAATGTTACTGAGAGCAACGATGCTCATCTATCTTACACCAAAAAAGGAAAGTTGCAATTGGCCTAGGAAAAAGAAGGAAGACTTAGCTATAATATGAGAAGCCTAGAGATGCCCTAAGAAAACCTGCAAAGAGAACCCTTCACCTACAAACGAAGGTTCAACTCAAGATAGGGGGACATAACGTTACTGAGAGGAGGAGAGGAGTTCAAGGATACATCACACCAAACAAGGGAAATCATTCCCCAAGTGCAAGCATACTTGAATCTTACAAATAGCCATCTTCTTACAATCTTAGGAATCCCTCTCAGCTTCTTTCGATCTTCCTCAATTAATAGAAGCTCTCTTAGAACCCTAGAAATTTAGATTATTCAACCCAAAATATCATGCAACCCTGCAAAGTTCTCTCTCATGCTAAACTGACAAACTTCTAGCTTCCACGCCACACTTTGCTTAGGCAAGTCATTATTTGTTTAATCATATTATCTTTGAGCCATTAACCTAACCGAGACACACTAATTCTTTCGAGGTATCCCGAACTTAGTATTCAAACGGACCAGAGGAAGTAAAGAATATCCGTCAAAGCTCAAATTCAGCTCGGCCTAAAAGTCCACCAACAGAAGTCAACAACAGTATTCAATTCCCTGTAAATATACTTAAAAGTTAAACAACACTCATCGAACCTTCGACGAATAGGCCTGCATTGACTAAGAAGCACACGCATAAGGTGAGAATGTTCCCATTGTCCCTACAGGCACACACAAAACTAACTCTACCACACATTTTTTCTCTCAATATTTTATGTTAGTTGTAGCATGAAAATGGTGACAGAAGTCAAATTTTGAACATGTTAAAAACATTTTAACTTTACCACACAAGGGAAAAGTGAAACATATTTCTTTCATCATCTTGTCGATTTTAGATAGGGAAAGCTAAATATGGAAATATATTATTTAAAATGCTCAACTATTTCCTTAGTTTGATATGCAAAACCAAACAAAACCTTAATTGTAATTTTATCCCCTCCAACAAAGAAAATAGAACTAGGATCCAAACTGGTTGACTGGGACTTGGACCACCATGGATCTTGACAAGTTTGATGGCTTCTGCTTCTCTCTCTCTCTCTCTCTCTCTCTCTGTTTGTCTGAAAACAATAGGTTGACGATATGACCTCACAGAAGATGTGCTCCCATAAAACTGTGGGTTGGTTTTCTGTACCACCAGAAGGTCGTATCTGAGGAAGATTTGGCTGGCTGAATAGGAGGAAAATGATATATCATGACCAAATGGTTTGAAACATGATTTTCAAGAATAAAATTTGGGTTTAGCCAAATAATGAATAAGTTAATAATGATTTTTTTAATTAATACTGTTTTTTTTTGGTAAGGTTATGCTTTATTTTGTATTTAAAATTAAATTATTGCGGAGTTAAATAATAAGTTTTATTTTCAATGAACAAACTTACTAAACATACACTTACAAGACATACAAAAAGAAAAATATATTTGTGAATAGTTATCGTCCTTACCCTTGCACTGCCTCTTCTTAAACGGATGGATTTGCATAAAGACAATTATATTTAGAGTGAATAATAAGGGCAATCTTACTGCCCTTGCCCTTGCCCTTGCCTTGCCTTGTCCTTGATCTCCTAAACAGGTGGACTTGCTCTAACATGTAATTAGTTATGATCTTATCTATTTCATCTTAAGCCTATACATAGACACTCTAAAGAGAAGGAAGGATACTCTAATTTCTCCACCTAATCTCTCTTGTTTCTGGTTATAAAAAAAATTCTCCCTTGTTTGTCTCTTTTCTCTATATTTTATTCTAATAAATTAAACATTTTGTTTACATTAATTCTCAATTGACTAGAGAGAAAATAGCACACGAATACATTTTTATTTTCCTGGTGAAGTGGCGTGGAAGCGAAACAAACTACAATTTTACAATTCTAAACGTAAAAAGGTCGATCTTATTATTTATTTAAGAGAATTGTTAATTGCACTTCAAACTTTTTATATTTAAAAAAATATACACTCATGACTAGTGCAGAATGAGATTTTTATAGTGTCAATAAAAATTCCGTTTTTAATGCTATTTTATCCAGTATTTACAAAGACCGCAATAAATTTAAATTTTTGGATTTTTTGTCCTCAAATGTAGAAAGATTAGACGAGATTAGCTCTTGGACAATGATCGCGTGCAAGACACCTATCTTGAGTGAGGATTTAACCCCTCCCGCTGCCCATCCCTTCTCCACCAATTTTTTTAATAATAAATGAAAGTAAACAAAAAAAAAAAACATGCGGGGGAACTATCCAAGTGAATCTTGGAAAGCGCTTTGGAACAAAAATATTTTTTTTAAATGCGTTTTCAATCAGTTTAAAAACACTTTCAAATAAGTACAAAAACTTTTAAACTTTACCACGTACGGGAAAAGTTAAACATATATCTTTCATCATTTTGTAGATTTTAGATACAAAAAGCTAAATATGGAAATATAATATTTAAAATGCTCAACTAATTCCTTAGTTTGATTCTGCAAAAACAAACAAAACCCTAATCGAATTTTTCTCCCCTCCAACAAAGAAAATAGAGCTAGGATCGATGGATCCAAATTGGTTGACGAGGACTTGCACCCTGGATCTTGACAAGCTTGATGGCTTCCGATTTGTTGTGTCTGAAAACAAAAGGTTGACGAATGACTTCAGAGAAGATGTGCTCCATGAACTGTGGGTTGGTTTTCTATACCTCCCAAAGGTGGCATCAGAGGAAGATTTGCTGGCCGAATTTCCGGAGGAAAATTAGATATCATGACTAAATGGTTTGAAACACGATATTTCAAGAACGAGATGTATTTAAATTACGTAATAATTCAATTATAACTATAAATTAGACTCGTTATTTGTAAGAGTCAAACATGAGTATTCTTATCCAAGAAATTTTTAATAAGTAATCAAATTTAATACGTTAAGGATTTTTAGACTTATTTGCTTTTGTTATTTTTCAAATTTTAACCACTTGAAAGGAGTGCGAGCGCTTCAAACGCTGTTCAAAGATTGACTGAGGGGTTTCGAGAAAATTTGAGCATTGGTTGAAGGGTTTCGAGCTGGGGTGACTATTTCTGAATCTTAAAATAACAGGCCGAAAGTTTTTAACGTACGCCAAAGAAAAATTAGTCTCTCAAATTTGGACAAATCTCTAAAGTATGGTGCTGTCAATCAAGAAATCGTCATATGAGTACTTTTTTATATGCATAATTAGTAATTTATTAGTACTGAAGGACATGGTCCAATCCAACCCAGAAAAGCAAACAAAATTTTGGGAATAATTTATTTAAGTCTGTCGCAAAAAATGTCTTATCCTGTGGGCCACTATTTTTAAAATAAAGAAAAAAATTTATTATTATTAAAGAGATAAACGGGGAATTCGTTATCATTGTAAAAAATGAGAAGTTTCAAACTCAGAACGTATTGGAAGAATTCAACTCTCTATCTATTAAGATATTAAAAACAATTAGAAGCAAAAAGTTTCAAACATACCTCTAAAATCTCAGGACCGGCAGTTGAGACAATCCAATTATTAATTTGATGAAATATATTAAAACAATTAAAATGAAAAAAATAAATTAAGAGCAGCCATCGATCATTAACGACTGCTTGATGTGTTTAGTGGGTTAGTTGTTTCTTTCCTCACCTTCTTGATCTGCAATTTCATCTCCATTATATTATAAGGAACTTAATTAAGCACATCATCACTTGTATAAGAAAATAATATGAGTTTTATAGCTCAATGACAAGCAATTTTTCATGCTTACCTACATAATTCAAAACATATAACGTTTGCGATGTAAGTAACAGAACTACTATAGGGTTGCCCAGCGGTTGGGGTGAATTTCAAGCCTATATTTCGCTTGTTTTGGGTTCGATTCCTAACGATGGTAACTCGCACGATGGTGGCAGGAAGAGGTTAAAATGTCTATGTGAATCTTTCGGACTCCCAAAAAAATAGCACTGTCGTGGCTTCGTCACCAACTGATCACCGATTTGAAAAGATAGGAAAAAAAGATGCAAGTAACAGAACTAGTAATTTAGGTTACATACATGGATAGTGAGAGTGACATAGATTCAATATATATAACTAGAACATCTTAATTAAATATATACATTTGCCAAATCATTTAACTTGTAAATAAAGCAATAACATGTAATGTTCTAAGAGTGACATTCTAATATTTTATAAACTAACTCTTAATCTGGTATATTGTTTCTCTTTTCATTGTTAGAAGAGATCTTAAAGTCCGAATTCTTCCTCCCCATTGATTAGTTAAAGACCAGAATCTTTTATACTAAAGCTAAAAAATCAATTCTATCAAATGCATAGCTAGAGTATATTTTTTCCTATTTTGCACTCAAATTTGAATATTTATCCTTAATTTTTATATTCAGATATTGAATAAATAGGAATGTACATAAGAAAAAAAAAAGAGTGTACAATAATTTATTACTTAAAACGCATATTGATTATTGTTTTTAAACGAATCTGAAAACACATAATATTTTTAATGAATTTATTATTGTTTTTACACAAATCTGAAGGTATCAGCATGCATGATGAATCAAAATATTTAACAACCAAATAGACTTGTAAAAAAAAAAAAAAATTGTATACGTTCAACGATAAATTAGGTTCTCATGCCTCATTTTTTTTTTTCATTAATTGAAATCTTTTTTTTTTCATGTTTTATTAAGGTCTTTTGACTTTTGTTCATGTCATTATTTAAACATAAATTATTTACATGTCATCATATGTCAATTTTAAAACTAAAAAACTTATTAATCATTTCCAAATATATCTTTTTAGTATTTTTCATATATTTCTATCTTAATTTGTACTCATTTTTTTTTCACCAATATTATTTTTAGTTTCAATTTGTACCTATAATTTTAAATTTTAATATGTACCCATATTTTAAAATTTAATCTGCACCGATTTTCTTTTTCTGAATGACCCTATATTCTATCAAATTGTATAATTAATATATAAGAAAAATCACTACCTGGGTTACGTAGGTCTTGGCTTGTAGCATGTTAACCTCTTCTGTATGTCTTGGATATGCCGGCCATCCCTTCCATGCCAAAATTCTGCTATGTCATCGCCTACGACTTTTTCTTTTGGCCACCACCTTTAAAAATAAACTCCATCTCCTTACCACCACCTCCCCCTCATTATTTTCTTCCTGCCCAGATTTGCAATCTTAATAAAAGCAGAATTTGAAATGGCTCACGGGACTGTCAACATAATCCAATCCCACGAATCCTGGATTAATTATCCCAACTCTAATGTTACTGGCTTCGAAAATAATCCCATCTCCAATCCCAAGCCCGTCGAAAACCGGTTTATAAACTTGGAGAGGAGTGAGCTCTCTCAGTGGGTGGAGCACATCACGAAACAGCTCATCGACGACTTGCCTGAACCCGCCACGACCAACACAGCCTCCGCCGACATGTTACAGACGTCTGAGGACTATTTTGTCCCGTCATCACTTTCCGCCGATTTAATTAGTCCGACGAAAGTACCACGGAGAAGCTATGGCGAGCATGAGCATCATGAGCTCCAATGGGGCAATGAACTTCAACTCCATGCAGATAATAACGACGTAAGAGCAAGAGGAGGGAATAATATGAGTAAGCTCGATGAGCATGGCTTAACCCTAATCACACTCCTCTTCGAATGCGCGGTTGCCATCTCCGTCGACAACCTCCCCGAGGCCCATCGGATGCTCCTCGAGCTAACCCATATGGCCTCGCCGTACGGGCCATCATGCGCTGAGCGAGTGGTGGCCTATTTCTCCAAGGCCATGGCTAGTAGGGTTGTCAACTCATGGTTAGGCAATTGCTCCCCATTGGTCAACTACAAAAGCGTTCATAGTGCTTTTCAAGTCTTCAACACCATCTCCCCTTTCGTCAAATTTGCCCACTTCACTTCCAACCAAGCCATCCTCGAGGCCTTTCACCACCGCGATAGGGTTCACATTCTTGACCTCGACATCATGCAGGTATATATGGTTCGAAATTTCGATAGTACCGTACGGATAATACTTGCCTCCTTCCATTAGAATTAGACATTAATTCCAATACAGTCCTGCCAATCATGTTTAATCTCATATGTATTTAATGAGTTATTTTTATATATATGTCAAACTGTGATTTTGCATAAACGAGTTGTTTCCTCATGTTAGCTAACATCGACATATATTGTTTGCAGGGTTTGCAATGGCCAGCCTTGTTTCACATTCTCGCCACACGCATGGAGGGTCCTCCACACCTGAGAATGACCGGTGTGGGCACATCATCAGAAATTCTTTTGGAGACCGGAAAGCAGCTCTCAAATTTTGCTAAGCGGCTTGGACTATCATTCGAATTTTTTCCCATTGTAAGGACAGTTGGCGAGGTAGATGCTTCCATGGTGCAAGTAGAGCGAGGGGAGACCCTCGCCGTGCACTGGCTGCAACATTCGTTGTATGATGCGACCGGCTCTGACTGGAAAACGTTGAGACTCATCGAAGAACTAGCACCAAGAATTGTCACATTGGTAGAGCAAGATATGTCACATAGTGGCTCATTTTTGGACCGTTTTGTTGGGTCGTTACATTACTATTCGACAATGTTTGATTCACTAGAATCATACTTGCCTAGTGACAACCCTAGCAGGCACAAGGTGGAGCATGGTATGTTTTATAGAGAAATCAACAACATATTGGCGATTGGAGGCCCGGCAAGAAGCGGCGAGGACAAGTTCCGGCAGTGGAGGAGTGAACTTGGGGCAAGAAGTGAGTTCATGCAAGTAGAGATGAGTGGGAATTCAATGGCACAAGCACAGTTGATATTGAATATGTTTCCTCCTACACATGGGTACAGCCTTGTGCAAGGAGATGGGACTATTAGGCTTGGGTGGAAGGATACTAGTTTGTATGTTGCTTCTGCATGGACTTGCTCTCACGCTTCAAGATAGCTAGCCAGTTTTTTATACAAGCGATATTGGAGAGGGGCCTAAGGGAATATCGAACTTTAGATTTAGGCTGTAGGAGCAAAAGCTCTTAACTGCTTGAATTAGAGGCTACTCGCACAATTACTAGGTCTTTTTTTGTTGGGTTTATATGGTTTGTTTTTTTCCTACTTCTCGTGAAATGGTTGGTCATTGATTGTACTAATTTGGGGTTTGGAATGTTTAATTACCCTTTGACACTCAATACAACTTCAAATTAACAAGCGCACGTGTACTTTTGTTGTTGTGTAACTACTTGGTTGCATATGACATTTTTGGTACTAGTGTTACAAATTAGAATGTAGTCCAATATCCCAATGGATAGAGCGTAGAGTTTTAGCGATGCGTCCCAAGTTCAAAACTCACCCTTCCCCTAAATCCTTTAACAATTTTGTCACAATTCTACTTTCTAATTTGGTAAACAATTAAGCTCCTTCCTTGTAAACCAAGATGCCCTCATTACCCCAATTAAGTTTCCAATGTCCATACGAAAAGAAGTTAAATGCAAAGCACCATATTATCATGCATTGAATTTTAAACCACCTCGCTTCCGAAGTAGTCTTTTATAAAGAGCAGAGTCTTCGCCTACGCACCCAAAACTCCATCAACGATTGATCGAATTCCTGTTATTAGGTCGAAAATGTCGTCTTCAAGAATTGCTCTTTGCATGTCTTGTTGTTAGAGAGAGAGAGAGAGAGAGAGAGAGAGAGAGAGAGAGAGAGAGAGAGCTAACTAGAAGGAAAACATAACGAAAAAAGTGACCCGAAAATTGTAGCTGTTTGCCCGTGTCACCAATTCACCATCACTTGGGTGCAAAATTTCGATAAACGAAGTTGATAGCCCGGGAAAACATCTATGACTTCATGGTCTGCAAGAGTAAAAGGCGAAGAAATCCTTCAGTTTCTAAATCAATGAAAGAGCCTCCTCTACCATGCTCACTCTTCTCTATAAATCTTTTGAAGAAGCATTTATCTGGAATTTATTTATGTGTTTTCTTTATCTGGAAAAGAGGAATTATAATCAAGTTTTCGAAAATCTCACAATCCCTAAATTAAAAAAAGTGCCCTGCTTATGCTTTGCTTTAGATGGATACATACCTTCAGGTACTTTTTGTGAATCCTCAATGCCTCGTTACATGCCTTTTTAGCATCCAGATTTCCGGTTATGTCACCTAAGATCTGGAGACCAATACGAGATTAGTGAACACAAAAAAGTAACATGAATTGCATTGGAACATGAGAGAGAGAGAGAGAGAGAGAGAGAGAGAGAGAGAGAGAGAGAGAGACCGAGACAACATCATCAAGACCCTTAGCTTCCTTTAAAAGTTGCTTATTTTTGGTCTCAAGAACACTTGCAACAAGAAAGACGGAAAGTGCACCATGCTGTTCCGTGTATCCTGTCTTCACAATATTTCTCTCGAACTTTCCATATTGCTTTAGTTCTTTGTCATGTACATTAGGTGGTGTAGCACCACCACTCGGAACTTCATACGATGAGAAAATGTTTGGGTTGTATTCCATGGCCCACATCAGCTGAAACCAATCTATTACTGTCTTAAAACAAGCTTATGAAGAAAAGCAAAGAATAAAAAATACCCCTTAATACATTGATTACATTGAGATTCACAAGACATACAGTTCGAATTCACATCAGAAATCGACAGCATGAATCCACAGTATGGCAAATAGGTAAAGTTTTCCTACTCACCTCCCAAAGATACAATGAATCCACAAAGGAAAACTCTCTTCGGAACAGGACCATTAGCATGCGAAAAGCAAATAAATACTCCCCGCCATCTAGATCATCTGTCAATAAGATTGAAATGGAACTTTAGCTGAGTATGAAGGACCTGCGTCACTGGACATGCACAGAGCAAGTTTTACCAAGGTGCTGATGAAGTTTAGGATCAATAGTTCTGATTACTTGGGAGAGTGTACCCAGCTGAGATTGCACCCCTATCGAACTTGCACTGCACCTAAAATTCTCTCTCTGTTTTCGAAACAAAAGCAGGAATCTGAATTATACCCTAACAGAAGCATATCACAAGCACAAATCATCTAACAAATCATATAAAATAAAATTTGTCAGAGGTAAATAATAAAAAAGAACAAGATAAATAATCAGCCCCAAGGCCCCCAATAGACAACTTAACACTTCATATCTTCTTGTTATGCATGATCTCTATCAGAAGGGAATTAAACACACTGTCGATGAAACCAGATGATCACTAGATGTTGGAATCCAATCCAGTTCAGCAGAACAAACTTCAAAACTCCTTACCAGTATAATCTAAGGTTAATTATGCCACACTTAACTTGACTATAAGTTTAAGAGTTGATTTAACCATTGAAACTTGACTACTTGATCTGACTTTTGATGCCTAATGCTGAATCATGTTGCCTTTATTTACTAGTGCAGCGCCTGACAGATTCAGCACAGCCAACATTCATGTACCCGCTGACTAGAGAACCTCAGCTAATTATATCGTTAAGCAATCCATTTACAATGTTTTATGGGAAACAATTTCCAAGATACCTTCTAGGTCTGCCAATCATCCATCTTGATTCTTAACACCCTCACATCCATTCTTGGTACACCTTTCTCAACTGTCCATTCTAGTCTACATGATGAATTTGAGCAGTCAGGACTCAGTCTACAGGAAGAATAAGACAACCAATATTGCTCATGCTAGTCAAATACTAGATCCCAGTTTAAACTGGTCACAATATACTACCTGTTCGGAATCACTCATAACAAGTTCATGGACAATGAACAGCAACAAGAGGCAGTCAACACTGTTCTATCAAAACAAGCAACCAATAATAGTACCATCAAGGTAAGAAGGAAAACATACCAGCCTTCGCATGGTACGTTCGAAACACCAATAGGCATCTGCTTCATTTTCAATAAGAATTACCATTGGCGAGCATATATCATTCATTCCTGTCAAATGTGCCCATTATAAATGTCGCTTAATACTGTTCAACTTTAATGGAATATCACTGAGATTCAGAAACATTCACCTTGAACATAACCAATATCATTGTCCACCCAAGCATAAACTGAAAGAATGTCCCAAAGTTTTGCCTGATTAGCTTGACTCTCATAAAAGACAAGTGTTCGATCCGTGCGAGCAACATCCAAACCTACAAGCCAAATCCCCCAGTTGAGTAATCACTTCTAATAGTTAACATAAGTAAAAATAACCATAAGATACCAAAATAGATAAAGGTTCAGAGCTTATAGTAGTGAAAAAGAAAAAAAATATAATCGTGAGCACATGGTAAAATAGCCATAAGATAATCAAATGTGTATGGTTCATAATTTGAGCTATGAAAACAGTTAAAAAATCATTGAAAATATCATAATAATCAAATATACATGCTGCGCATTCGTACATGAATAAAAAGTGTAAAGTATTTTCCTTGAGAAAAGAAAAACAAGTGTCAAGTTAAGGTAGTTTTCTGGGTTTTCTTCCTTGTGCGTAATAAGTTAAAAGTGATTTGTTAATCATTTTTATTGAAAGAAAACAGCCACAAACAGTGAGAACTACTGTACCATGAGAGCAACAGAAAAGTGAGATTGTGTCGAGTGGTAAAGGGTAAGTTGGGTCTTCGGTTTACAATTTATCCAAATAATATAGTTTTGCAACACTTGGAACAGATATGTACCAATTTGATGCAAGAAAAGCTTCCACTGAATCACTTTCTTGTCTGAAGAAGCATGGTTTGAAGCCTCTCTGATATTGCCATTTGCTGATTCTTCTATGGGTTGGCCATCATCCGTGATGATTGGTGTTGTAAGAAATTTTCCACTGCCAATGACTGGAACCATCTCCTGGCATTCAGCTTTCAATCTGTTATACTGCTCCCTAAAATGGCACGTTAAATATTAAGTCACCATATTAAATCAAAATAAAGAATGTAAGATGGAGTCGATGGACAGCATGCCAATAGGACTTTTTGTTTAGGGAAATAATGTAAGAGGAAATTAGAATACGAAAAACAACCTAGCAATGCCAACTTGACTAGAAATAAAATCTTTACCCCTTCCAAGGCTCGCTAACCTCACATTTCACCAGCACCCCTCTTTATCTACCCAAAAACTACAGCACAGGCTTAGGTCTAACACCACAAACCAAGCGAAGAAAAAGAAAAAAAAAATGTAAAACCCCATCTCGTAACCATCCATGCTCCCAAAAGATATTACTCTAGAGCAATCCAAAACTTAAAGAACCAGGATCTTTGCATCGCTCCAGCATCATGAGGTTATATTCATATTGAAAATATCTATGTGGATTGAAGTAAGAGGAGTTTCATGGGTGCTCCATTGATTTTGATGACGATTAAATTAGAGCCACCCTCTACATATTAGATTGCAATAAAAAAATGTATTACCTCCGGCACTGCCTGAGCTGATTTCGTTCATCGAAGGTGCTATTTGGATCAAAGCAACCTAACAAGAACTCCCAAACTACACCTTTGATTGCAGGATGGACACCCTAGTATAACAAATGCAGTTAGAAGATATATACTAAATATGTTACGCATACAATTTGAATTTTGAGTGCACCAAAAGGAGCAGCATTACATGGTGTATCTAACCCCAGCAAGGCTAAAAATCATTTATGATGTGTTTGCTGTATCCTACATGCATTAAAATTTAACGTCTACATTTTTTTTTTCTATTGTTGGGGACACAACTCAATAACACAAGTGACGAAACACACACAGAAACACAAAACAACCCCCCACCTCCAACAATAGATCCTAACGAAAAAAGAAGTTACAAATAAACGAATGGTTACCCCTCGTTGGATTCGTCTAAGCACTTTAGCTATATCCAAATGACCATCTTCAGAGAAGGCAGCATGCCATCTTCTTTCACTAAGAGTTTTCCCCGCCTGCAAAAGTTGATACTTATAAGCATGGATCACACATGCTTAGCAGGAGCATGACACACCGTTAAAAGTACAAAAAAGTAATCATGTTGCAATTGAGCATTGGTGGTGCAAAACCATATCTTTTCAATGGAAAAACTGTAGAAATTATCTTAGCAGCAATAATTAAACTGTTCCATAAGGTGATTGAAATCAACTGTGTTAGACAGAACTAAAAGATAAATTAGCAACAAAATGAACTGAAAAGGGCGTACCCTGAGCCTAAAGTGTGTCTTCGGGATGTCAACTTGGCATTCTGGTCTAACAGGATAGAAAGCATCCAACTCAGCAGTTGAAGCTTTCTTCATAAAAAACAACGCCATTCTCCCTCACAACCAAGCATCCAAGATACACCAATTCAATCGCCTTCGCCTTTTCTTTGTCCAGACACCTAATTTCAAGTACAGCGTCAGTATTATCACTTAAACATAAACACTAAGAAGATCACATATACTCAAAAACGAAACGAAACAAACATATGGGATCATCCCACAATACATCACCACCATTTATCACATATCCAAAATACCAGATTTCCCCAACATTATATCATCTTACATAATCTCTATCTCCAATGCAATGTTTTCACATTTCAATATCTCAAGACAATCTAACAGATAAACCCAAAATCCCCTTTGCGTTCAATGATATAAATAATAAATATCTAAACATCCCAAGATTAAAACTTTATGACAAAAATCCCAGATACAAGAGAACCCCAGATTCACATATTTTGTTTATGCTCATCACGTAGTTTCCGCACATCAAATGCATTCAAAACATTCTAAAAAAATGTAGATTTCTAATACCTTCAGTAACTGTGGTAGAAATTCAAATTAGGATTGTAATTGCTGCAACCCCCTTGAGCTTTTCTTCGAGATGGTGAAAAAAAATTCACACAGATTGGAAAGAAAGAGAGGTGGGAGCGAAGAAAACGCAGGAATATTATAGGAAAGGAAGAAAGTTTGGCATCCATTTTTGCTTTAACGGTAAATTAGTTTTTTCTTTTATACGAGCCCTTTTTTGGATTATAGTTATAGCCGGAAGCGGCGACACACACACGGGGACCCCCACCATTCCAACGGACGGAAAGGAAACCGTCTAATTTTTTAAGAGTACCAATTTGCCTTTATGTCAAATTTTCCGTCAAATCGGACGTTGTTTTGTAACTTTGCTCATCTAGGTGGTGAAAACTATAAAAAATAAAAAATAAAGAGCGATAAATTTGACGGTTCAAGTTAATCAATGTACGAGGTTCAAAACTAAATTGAAAGTTGACAGTACAAATAGAAATATGGTTATGAAATTTACAATGTCTTGTTAAATCTTTCCCTTAAACAAGTTACTAAAGTGTACAAAAAAATGTTAAAGGATCTTACAAACTAAAGAAAATTGATACATTTTAAAATTTTACATACCAAAGAAAATGGTTGCATTTTAAAATATTAGGGAACCGACCTAGAAATCGAGGGGTACAAATGAAAAAAGATGTTTTCAACTCAGTGTTTTTTGAAGAAAGTACTTCAAAAGTTTTGGAGTCCAAATTTTTTTTTCTTTTTTCTAAAAGCGTTTTCTAATCATTTTAAAAATAAAATGAGTCATTTGTAAAATTTTCTCTTCAACTAGTTATAAAAAATTAAGCATAAAGAAGTACTGCCACTAGTATGACTTAAAATCCAGAATATTTTGATGACAACTTTAAACCAGTAATGTACTGGAATAAACTTTATATTATAAATGTTATAATTTTTCTTAGTCCCACGGCTCCACATAGTCTTGTTACCCAAGAAATCCTGTTTAGTAAGTACAACGTTCAATAAAGACAATATAATTATAATTGTCAATGAGAACAAAAATATGCAAGAAATAAAATACATGGCGTTCAATCCTATTTAGGAAATATAAAATTCATTAAGGATAAATAAATCGATATATAATACCTTTTAACTACACCACTGTCAAATAATAACATTCCTAAAAATTGGTTTGGACCCAACTCAACTGTGTGAAGGAGGACTTCATTGTAAAAAGAGGAACATATAAGGGTACAAAAGAAAAGATAAATTTTTCAAACATGGTAACCAATAAAATTCACGATTGTAGAAATTACATCGACCGCAGCGGATTCCCGCTCAGCTTGAACAAAACCCTATTTCTTTACTACCCAAACCCTACTCTCAACTCTTGCCTCTCACTCATCTTCTCAGACTCCTCTGCCGGATTTTTTCAGATCCTCTGGAAAAATGCCGTTCAAGAGATACGTGGAGATCGGACGAGTTGCTCTCGTCAACTACGGCAAAGACTACGGTAGGCTCGTCGTCATCGTCGATGTCATCGACCAAAACAGGGTATGTTCTGGCTTTTATTTACGCATAATGCCAGTTTTCCTCAATGCATTTTGCTTCGAAGCTTTCTGCTTTACGATTACAACGCCGAGTAAAATAATGGGTATGTGTTTGTTTAATCAGATTTTTCATGAAAATATTGTAAGAAATTAATCAGAGTTCTGATGAAATTTTACAAGAAAATAAGCAGATTTTGAGTTTATGTAAGTAGATTATTCTGTATTAATTATTTTTGCAAGGATTTGACAGACTTGCTGTTTGTTTTGCAGGCTCTGGTTGATGCACCTGACATGGTGAGGACACAGTTGAACTTCAAAAGGCTTTCGCTCACCGATATCAAAATCGACATCAAAAGGGTTCCGAACAAGAAGACTCTGATTGCTGCAATGGAGGCTGCTGGTGAGTTTCGACTATTGAGTGAATATGGAAAGATGAGGATTTGAGGCGTATCCAATTTTATTTTGTTACCAACTGAATGGAGTTTTTCCGTAATGTGGTTGGCAGACGTAAAGAACAAATGGGAGAAGAGCTCATGGGGCAGGAAGCTGATTGTGCAGAAGAGAAGAGCTGCACTTAACGATTTCGATAGGTTTAAGCTCATGTTGGCAAAGATCAAGGTGCGTTACTAATCTCTCATTTTTCTTCTCTAAAAACTGAACCTCTTGTGTGTTTAATTTCTAGTTTTATATGTTCATAAGATTTTTATTCAATGTGTGAGAAGTTGACAAAAACCGTTGAGGGTTAGGCTTTCGGTCCTTACCTTCCCTTTTTCACACCAAATGCCGTACATGCTTTTTGGCTGGCAGTGAAAAATTCATCGAAGTTAAGACACTGCCAATTAGGTATCACTAGCTTCTAAAATCTGGAAAGTTTATGCCGGGCTAGGCCTTTGCAATTTCTACCGGCAGCTAAAATCATTTTTTCAGTTCTGTTATGCATGATTTACAACTTTCAATGGGAAGAAATTGCATCCTAGCTCCTAGTTTGTAAGAGCATGAATCTTTTGATACAAAGTGAATAATTGAAGTTTTGAAAAACCCCATCTGATGACTGCCTGAGCCTCGTCTTCTCTCTTTACGTGTCTATGTTGGTAATTCGTTCACTGGTTAATTTGTCTTTGTAAAATGTTGTTTTATTTTTGTGTATGTACAGAGGGCCGGAATCATCAGGCAGGAGCTGACGAAGCTCAAAAAGGAGAGTGCATTCTGAACGCAGTCCTGTTAACTTATTTTCGGCGAGTTTATGTTTTGATTCGTAGAGGCGACGGTAGCTTGGTATTTTGGTTAGTCACAGTTACGAGTGGAAACCAGCCGCAAAAGATTATCTTTGTAAACCATGTGGGGATTTTTGTTGAAATGAAACACCTTGTGGGGATTTTTGTTATGTGAAATCATAGTTTTGATTTTGTAAGACTTACTTGATCTGTGAAATTGCCGCTGATCTGAATGTGAAATTTCCAAATCAGTGAATTCTACTTCGTCGATGGATAAACCCCCGACTAAATTCGGAACACCGCTTGGCTCCTTACCTTTTGTGACATATTCGTTCCTCCGCCCAAAATGGGAATGGGCTAGGGTTATGAACTTATAATCTATAATCTGATGATCGAGTCGATTCCATGATTATAAGTTCATCCCATGCCGGACTAGACCGGAATAGGATTATATACATTATAATTATGAGAAGGGCATTCGAGCGTATCTAAATAGGTACTATGTTTAGGATCACATTTTGACACTTGAACACTTACGTTGGCAAATTGTGATTTGTCTGCAATGCGGAGTAATGAACATCTAATGACATGACTAATCATATGAAAAACCATAAAATACCCATATTATAAGCATGTTTTGCTAAACCTTGCAAAAAGCCTCCAACTTGTAGGTAACATTACACAGCCTACGCCTTCTTTCTTTTCTCAATTCTTTAATTTAAATAAAAATCCAATAAAATAAATCTATAGACAAAGGTATGAAGCAAGAGAAAGCAAAGAAAATAAAATGGTGGGGGGATGTTGAACCAAAACAGAGCATCTGAACAAATGTTACAAGGCACTTGGGAAGTTTACAACACCATAAGAAAAGCAACCGGCTCGGTCGAGCTGCTCGCAGGACAGCATGGACTAACGTTACCTAGACGACGATTGGTTTGTACAACTCCATACTCATCCTCCTTGAGGTTCGTGGAAGTGCAAAATGAGCGCCAATCCTGCTTGAAATTTACCATTGATGAATGTTGCACGACCAAGCATGAAATTTAGTGTTGAACAGGACTAGATCCACTGATCAGTGCCACGGAGCATCTTGACAAAAATGATTCTTTTCACTGGACGAGCGACTTTGACGAAGGATCTGAAGCTATCTCGTACACAGCTGGATGAACATAAAAGGGTCAAGCAAATCAGTTAACACGCATGATTTTGCTGATCCTACATAGCAGATGCTCCATGTTTGAATTCAGTAAGTAATGCTATGGTTGGATTCACATTAGAACCTTATTTTGAGTTCGGAACAAAATATTTTTCGTTCTATAATTACAAAAGTACGATGGCGCATTTGATTTTATGATGAACATAGCACTTTCAGATATTTACACTCTTTTCCACTGGAACTCCATCTAAACCTCACCTTCTTGAACTTAAAAAGGAGCCTCGAGTGATTCATCCCAAACTTCAACACTTCCATTAGAGGCATTCTCTCCATCTTCTTCCATTGACAGCCGTATATATTCTCTGTGTGCAAAGCGGTCCCACTCAGTCAAAGTTGGATCCTCACGTTCCTGCACGCATCAAAATGCCAGAACACCATTATTGTACCAGAGAATTGAACCAGTATTTCTCAATTTCTCATATGTAACCCGTGCAAAAATACCTGACGAATAAGAAATGGATCGCGACTTTCAAAAGCTATGAATTTATTAAGGTTGAAAAGGATATTGAAGACATTTCCTGAAAGTTTGCAACCTTTCAAGTCAGCTGGAGTGATATAATCTTCCCTCTGCAGGAACAATGTCAAAATTAGTCATTTCTAATGAGTGACTGAATGTAAGATATGGAATTTAGTAATATAATAACAATAACAATGATGACGATTATGATATTTGACCTCTGGTGCAATCATGTCAACTATTTGGCACAAAATATCCTCGAATAGAACAGGCTCTTGGGCCATGCATTCCATACGATGCAGCTGCTCCTCATAAAAAAACTGCAACTCATTGGGTGTAAGAACTCCATTTCCATCCAGATCTATACATCTGAACCTACAAAATAAGATTTGAGTAAATAAAAAGGAAAAAAAGCAGACAAAGTAAAAGATGAATCACTAAAGGCATAGCATCAGAAAAACAGGTGGGTGAATCAAGGCTTGTCCTCACAGCAATGAGCGTGGCTACACTACAGTATATGCATGACTTATCTTTGAGACTCCACTATCGTGAGTTATTGGCAGTCCAAAAACGTCATCCTGCACTTCTATAAAAAAATTTCCTTGTCTTTTTGTAAATTTGGAGTGCAGGATGACTTTTTCGGGGTCCTAATAACAGCTCCGAAATGAAAAAGTGATTCATAATCTTTGAACTCAAATGCATCCGACAATTTCCACAAATAGAATGGGAGGTTACAATTCAAGCGCATGAGATTTTCACAAAATCGGGCAAGTTTATTTTTCAATTTACAATTTTAATCTTTCAATACTGATGAGTTTATTTTAAATATATTGCGGAAGAGTACATTTCAGGGAGTTAGAATATTACACCAACTTCCAAGTTTTGGATTAACGTATTAAAATATAGATTTCACACTTTTCATGGTTACATGCATCTAACAATGGCTACATCCACTTGAAAACAGGAACATTGACTGCACTTGTAAAAAATAAGAATTCCATGACATAAAATTACTGAATGTCAGAATGGAAAAAGAACAAAGAAACAAGAAACGTATACCAATACTCAAGGCTAGGCTCACACGACTTATCCTCCTCTGACAACATGAAGTAAGCAAAATCTTCATAACCCATCTTCCCTTCAACCTTGCTAGTAAATTTCCTCGGAATCTGGAGTGGAATGAGCAAATACGCAATCAACTCAGAAACCTCATTTAAATAAATAATTTGTTCAAGAAGTTTTGAAGAGGAAACTATAATATGCACCAACCTGTGAAAATATTCTATCAACGATCCTGTAGGTAAGGGCATGATTACCATATCTAATAAGATTCTCTTTGTCGATCAAGAAATCGTGGTCTGTGTCCAGCTCCCAAAATTTGCAGTATATGACATAAAAATGTTCATATGAGAAGTACCTAATATTTGGCAAGAAAGAAAATATCAATAACATAGTTCAGTAGTTTAACACAATTTAGTAAAGAAAACGAATCTGGTTTCCCTTTGGGCAATCTAAGAGAAAACGCTGATAGACTGTTCTTATGTTCCTTCTAATCTTTCATCCACTATAACTTCTTTCATGTCAACTTCAACAGTCAAACCATTAAAACAAACCAGAAAACCCACATCATATACTTAACTATACAAGTGGGGGAACACGTGAAAGTAAAGCACAAGGAAAGTAACGTTAATTGGTACTTAAAGATTCATGTTCCAGTGATAATCCAACCTTAGAACTTTGTTAATGTCCTCTTCCTCATCTGCATGTTGCATGGCAGCAATTAGATTTCCTCGTTTTAGCTCCCTCAGGGTAAGGCGACCATTTCCTGATCTGTTTATGTAGTAAAATATTCTGTATATTACAGTTTCAGCTGGGGCATTGAAAATGAAGCTTATGTAAGCAAATAGTAGTATGAAAAAAAAGGTGAGCTCAGTAAAAATATTCACTTGGAAAACACAAGGTCATCTCAAAATACCAAAAAAAAAAAAAGTGCCTTATGTAACAATATATGCCCAAGATAATAACTAATTGAGTCAACCATATATTTTGCGACAAATCTGATAAAACCCTATTGTCGCTTTTCATATTCCTATCCTTACAATCTTAACTTGACATCACAGTTCATTCAGAAATTGCCTATTCTGCACCAACAGAACCATGCAATCAGTTCTGATATGTGAATTAGAAACCTTACTTCTGCATAGAATATAATTAAACGAACAATAATTATTGTCACGAACTTAGCAGTATGAAACACATACCATATCTTTCTTGAAATTCAGGAGTTCCATGTAAAAATTCCAATCCTGGATGAGTTGCCACAAGCTCTAGAAGAATGGGTTTGAAGTCTACCTGCATTGAGAATGTGGACAACAATTGAGAAGCTAGAATGCAGAACCAAAAAGTCTGAAAACATTAGCACATAACTGACAGAAATAGGCATTTAAGTAAGCAGAAAGGACTTCAATCAAATGGCAATTCTCATAGACAATATAGAGAAAAATAGTATTAAATCAAACCTGAGAAAGGTAATTACGATCAGACTGCTTTAAAATTTTAAATATTTGAGTTGCTGTATCCATTGTGAGCATGTTTCCATCAACCCAATATTTGATGAATGCATCCCTACAAACCAATTATGTATATCGACATATAATAAGAATATATAGAACAACAAGAATAAAAGTAAAAGATAGATAAAATGTATACAGCTTGTTGAGTCATGGTTCTGTAAGTAACATAAGCTATTCTACTACTGAACAAAAGAAATACAATAAAAGGTAGAAGGATCACAATTCACAGATAAAATATATACTGGATATGTGTGATACAGCTAGCTGAATGATATAACTTCCCAACAACAAACACATGACGAAGCATTTCATAGACCTTTTCTTTTTCAACTGACATATTGAGGTCTCATTAAAACAAGATCTAGTTGCTTTTAGTAAGCTTAGTTACTTTTCTGCATACCTGGTCACTATCCCACTGCAGCTAGTATCAATCTTTCTAAAGATGGCAGAGGAGAAAAAAGTTGGCAGCTTGCATAACTCCTTTGTAACCAACTTAAACTCTGCATAATCATAAAAATAACATAAACTCCTTGCTTTCAAAATATTCAGTTTCACTAATCTCTGGCAGTGGTTGGGTAAGGGGTGAGAAAGAGAGGGACTTCTTGTCTTTCGCATTTCTAAAGGTGAATTACAGATAAGATACACATCTCACCATGCAGTTGCAATCCATCCATCTGACCACTGAAAAGGTCATCAATTCTAGAAAGACATTGCTCCTTAAGTTCCTTTGGTGGTGGTGGACCATTATGAAAATAGAACTGCAAAGCTTATTGAAACATACAAAACTATGAGAACTAATTCTTCAATCTTGACAGCATGAAAAGAACCCAGTGTTCAAGTTCACAACTAAATTTCTACCTCACAATATTTACAAAAATAATAATGGATGTAGTAGTAGTAGTAGTAGTAGTAGTAGGGCAATTAGGACTGAGTTTGACCTGAGGAATGGCTTCCCGCACTGGTTCACTAGCCAATTTTAGTGGAGAGCGAAGAGAAGAAGGACTAGTCTTCAGCTTTGAAAAACGCGGAGAACCAGGGGAACTTCTTGGTGAAAGTGGAGGTGTACTTCCAGACGGAAACATGGAAGGTAACACATTGCTCCCAGCAGTATTTGCACTTGACGTGCTCCCAGGTGCAGTGATAGGAATTCCTGCTATTGCATCATCTACTAGAGACTTCACCTGTCAAAACAAACCACAAAACATCAACTTTTTTCAACACCTGAAATTACCGAATATACAGTTCTTCTGGTAATTACGTCTACACGAATCATACATAAATACTACACAAAAGCAAATCCTTTACTTTAATGACAAGATCAACTATTATTAAGCGAAAAATAATAACATACTTGAGGCAGTAACCGACAGAGACAGCTCTCCCATATATAAGGTATTAAGCTAACAATAGAAACCCTATAATTATCCAAACAAGAAAACATACAAACTATAGCTTTGAGTCCAGAAATGCACATTGATAACAACGAATTGTACATGAACAGAGAAAAGTGAGCAAATTTACCAAACGACGGGTCTGCGGGAGCGAAAGCCACTGTGCAAACAAATCCTCAGCAATTTGGGGACTGGTTTTAAGTGCAAACGGTGACAATTCCGGCAGCTGTAAAAGCTCAGGATCCAAAGAACCAACATCCCCTGCTACTGGGTCTATATCCATCGAGAATTCACCCCTTCAATTCCCAAAATCATCACAATCGGCTACGCCTCACCCCCTACCGCAATCCCAACCCACTCGCTTTCGATCAATTTTCAAGATGAAAATTTGAAAAAACCCTAGGTCGGAACCGAAACGGAATGAAACCAACAGTCCGAAACAGCCACTGAGCTTTTGCTCTGAATTGAGACGGAAAACCTAGGCCGGAATCCCAATTGAGATAGAAAGATTGTAGAAGTAGTACCAGTTCTATCGCCTTCGCCGATGCTCTGCGAGTACGAACGCACGCTTTCTTCCGACTCCGATTTCCCACTGGTCACTGCGGGTGAACTCAGACGCCGCCGGGAAACCTCGCGGTTTTGGGCGTTTCCGGGAAATCGGAAAACCGCGCTCTGAAGAATTCGTGTCTGAATTGAAAGACTTGGAAAGACCGAGGGGGTCTATTTTGGTCAGGGAGAGAAAGAGAGAGGAGAGATTGTAAGGAAAGCGAAAAGGCTAAAATATAGAGGGTGGGGAGGGCGGCGAGGAGCGAGAGGATGGGCGCCACGTGGGATTTTAAGTGAACGGAAACTGCCGCCGGAGCCCGGAAACATGCTTGTCAAGAGTTTTGACTATCTAACTTGGTGAACATTGTATATTTCTTTGTCAATTTTTTGAGTTTTTTGTAATGTTTAAGGAAAACTAGAAGTATAAGAAACATATAAGAATCTAGAAATGAAAAGAAGTAGTATTAGCATTTTGTTTGTAATAGATTAGCAGCGTCGAATTCAGTTGTTCAACCAGACTTCTAGAAGAGTGGTGGAAATTTTAAAAGAGAATTCGAAGTGGAGAAGATAAGAGGCGGTACCAATCTGGTTCTTAAGTGGTTCTGTGTTTATATTGGTGTACTACTAATACAATGTTAATATCGTAAAAAATGTAGAGCACAAAGACAAGGGATAAGCATTGTAACACGAGAATAACACGTTAGTCAAGCTAGCAATTTAAAACATGGAACATGAATTACGACAGTGTAATATGATTTGATTCTTGTCAGTTGAAAGAACTGTGTTTTCATAGAAAGACATAACAAGCAAAATACAAAATTTGATTAAATATCGAGAATTTTCATAAATAAAGAAGTTAATAGTGGAGTTATCTATCTTCCCAATTATAATCGATATATTTCTATATAAGTATGGATAAGCATATAATAATTTGTATATGAATGGCACCTCTACATTAATATAGAATGATAGGCACAATTATACAAGTAAAGGAAAAACATAAATCGGTTACATTGAGAGTTATCTTATCCTTAAAAAATTCCGAAAAGAGTTTCTTTCGTTATCTCTCACCTCTCACGTTTTTTTTCATTTTAAAAACATGAAAAGAAACTTCAAACTTAAAGTTTCACGTAACATACATTAAATTATTATTTATTTTTTTATCAATAGTGAGAGGAAAGGTTAGGAAATGTCACATGCATACCGAGACTTAATAATCTTGTCGTGGAAATAGCTAAATTCAAGTCTATTCTCCAATCATTATCATTTTGCCACTAATCCCCCATTCCCCATTTGAGTCAATGGCCTTTCAAAAATGTAAATTACAAAAAAATCCCAAATATTAAGTTAATTAAAATAAATAAAATATGAAAAAGCCCCCAATCCATATGATTGAAATTTCAGAAACCATGGAGGGTCTACCGCGATATTTACCGCCAAGTCCCTGCCTATATGAAAAATAGGAAAACACCCCACAGACACCTTCTCCTCCCTACTTGGACCTCTCTCTCTCTCTCTCTAAAATCTGCAACTCGAAGAAGAAATCTCTGCGATTCGTGCAGCTGTCTGCACCATGAACATGTTCAGTAAGAAACCCACGGCCAAAGGTTCGCGCTTTCTTAATCTCCTGCCCAATTTTTGTTTTTGATTTCCTTGCTTAGGATTAAGCTGAAATTCAATTATCCAACCGCTCTTAATTTTCGTATTAGATCTGAATTATGGGTTCAATTCAAATTCTCTTAATTTCTTCATGTGGGTTTGCATTTGTAATCGCAGAGGCTCTTCGGGAGAGCAAGAGAGAAATGGCTAATGCTACTAGAGGTAATTAACATATATTTATGCCCCTTTTGGACTAGCTGAGGCATTGGGGCTTAGTTTTGACATTGCACTGTTTGAATAGACACTATAGATGGGATTAGACGGGTTACCGCTCACTAGTAATCTTTACTTTGTCCAGCTGACCTGTAATTTTACACCGGAATCTGATTGTGTGCATGTATGGAGGTCTCACCTTGTCATGGATTAGCATTTCCTTGGTTTTGAATTTTTGATTTTGGTCCTTTTATTCATGTTTTTCATCCACATTTTACTTCAGGGATAGAGAAGGAAATTGGAGCATTGCAGTTAGAAGTATGTCAAGAGGCTCCAGTCGACGGTCCCATTTCATTTTTGTGTATTTATAAACTTGTCATTTGATATATTATACTGTCATGTCAGGAAAAGAAGCTTGTCGCTGAGATAAAGAGAACAGCTAAAACCGGAAACGAGGTATGTTTTGCGTATTCGACCATTCTCGTCAGTCCATGAATGTTCGAGTGACTGCTGCCATTGAATCTTATAAGAGGTAGTCAATTTGTATTCCCTCAGGCCTTTGTCTTGTATTCTGCAGGGAGCAACTAAAATACTAGCCAGGCAGCTAGTCAGGCTTAGGCAACAGATAGCTAACTTACAAGGAAGTCGAGCTCAAATGAGAGGAATAGCAACTCATACGCAGGTGGACTGCCAAATTTTTATCTCTATACGAGATTTCTTCTATTTGATCTTTATTTTTCGAATTTGCGTTATGTTCTTGGTTGTTAACGTTATTCTATCATGCAGGCAATGCATGCTCAGTCCTCAGTTGCTGTTGGCATGAAAGGTGCTAGTAAGGCAATGGCAGCTATGAATAAGGTTTGATTGTAACATTGAAACATTATTTTTGTGCAGTTTTCATATTATAAAGAAGAAAATTTTGAGATTGCATCTTATGATGAGCTTTAGTTTAAAAGGCGTTCTGTCAACAACACTGGGCACTTCTGTTAAATGTAAATAAATTCTGATAGACGTATACTCTGTTACATAGCTTCATATTTTCATAGTTAGGAAATTCAAGGTATTTTTAGTAGCTGATTTTGTGTTTATGTTGCAGCAAATGGCTCCCGCAAAGCAAGCAAAGGTGATACGCGAGTTTCAGAAGCAATCTGCGCAGATGGATATGACTGTAAGATTTTTGATCTTTCAGTATACTGGCACAGAATTAAATTTCTCTATGCTTTGTTGCATACACAAATCATAATTTAGAGATTTGTTTATGCAGACTGAAATGATGTCCGATGCCATAGATGATGCCTTGGATAATGATGAGGCGGAAGAGGAAACTGACGAGCTGACAGATCAGGTAGGTCCTACTTGCATTATATACTACTTTATTGATGAGATGGATCTTTTCACAGATGATGCCAAAGAAATGGAAAAGAAATCTGTTTTATGGAGCAATACTTACTATGCATCTTTGATTAGGTTAATTCTTATAGTTGAAGTTTGATTGAGAAGGATTTGTGTTAGATGCTGTGGAACGAGTTCTTATGAAACTGAGAAATAGTTTATGATCTCATTCTTCATAGATATTGTTTGACTATTGGTCTTCGGTACCAGGAATTAACAGAATTTCTTTTGTTAAACTTACTCAAACAGGTGCTGGATGAAATTGGCGTTGATGTCGCCTCGCAGGTTGGTATCAATGGTTTTGCATTTTTGAGTTTTTGTTAGCATGTATTCTATTCCTTGTCATTTGACCTGGTGTGCTTTGTATTTTATCTACTGACAGCTTTCAGCAGCTCCCAAAGGAAAAATTGCATCAAAGAACGCTGAGGGTGTTAGCAGGTACAGCCTCTGATCGCTTTGTCATTGTAATTAACTGTCTGAATATTTTCACAATACATTACGAAATTGTTGAGGGTTTGCCATACTTGCACGTAAAATTACAATGGTGACTGCATGATTTATTTATACACACTGGGGGAAAGAGCACCCAAACAATAAACTTGTTTGCAGAAAGAGCACCTCAAACAAGATATGCATTCATTGTTTGCAGAAAGAGCACCTCAAAACAAATTGATATGTCATTCGTGATACGCATTCATCATGGCAGTTGTTGCTTCTTTTTGTTTTTAATTTGGTTACAACTTCTAACTAAAGAGTTTTCAACTTTTTGCAGTTCCAGCGTTGCTGATCTTGAGAAAAGATTGGCAGCTCTTAGAAATCCATGAGCCGAGGATTGGAAATTAGAGAGTCTCTTTCTTTCCTTTTTTCTTTTCTTTCCCAGAGTCGAATATTGACTTCGTGCAAGGATTCACATTGTAAATATTTTGTTAGTGATGTTGTCCTCAGCGATCATCCATTTCAGCGTCGCTGCATACATAGAAGCTAAGGGTTATACGCTCTATGACTTTGAAAGTGCGACGATGCTAATGTATGAATTTCTTCTTCTATCATGAACGGAGGACAGATTTTTGAATTTACTGGACCGGACAGTTTCGAACTTTTGGCTAACTGCCCCCCAACTCTATTTTGATGTTGCCGAACAATGAAACATTGGTTTTTAGAGCATCATATTTCATACATAAAAGAGTCTTACTATACATCGGTGTATGCATTCTACATTGCAATTCAAGTGGCCGAGATTTACTGCTAATTCCTTGGAATCTCGAGCGCAAATACATCGATGCATTCTAGAATTTTCGTTTTTCGATACATAGCAAGTTGCCACGAGCTCTCAAGTAAATACGGTCAAACTAGTAAACAAGGTTGTTGAGCAAGCAGAAACATCTGTGCATTCTTGATTGTGGAAGAAATTGAACTGCAACAAATTTCCGACCATTCGAGCTCAGGCGAACATTGTTGAGCAAGTTTTTGAAGCTCAGGCTAACATTGTTGAACAAGTTTTTGAAATGATGTCCATTACAAACAAACACCAACGGGTCTCAGAGCACGTGTATATTCAAGAAATAGGAATTATTACAGCTAAGCATAAGAAAAATGTATGTTTCTGATACAGTTACAATGCCCGGAACCTCTAGGGAGAGGAGAAAAAAGGTGGGAGGAAAAGCCTGGAGATGCCGTCGTTAGAGACATGCAACAGGGTCTGTAACCGCGGTGCTCAAGAGATAGTCCCATGTACAGAAGCGAGCGAATTTTGTCTTTGTTTTTCGGTTTTTTTAGTACTCATCGAATAGGCTGAGTATTACCCATTACTTCTTGATTACTTCTTGATTGAAAATATCTGTAGTGAGATACTGTCCATTACTTCTTGATTGAAAGGAGCTCAAAGCTCCGGAGAGGATCATCTCGGGTGCCTCTTGCAGCTGCAGGGCGCTTGGGTTCGTAACCTCTGTTCCCGGTAGAAGGGCGGCTACTGCTTGAGACTAATCTGCTTGTGCGACCGTCACTGGGAGTGTGATCACCTGAGGAGCTTGGCTTACTGCTAGCAATAGCTTTTCTTGAAGTGCTGCCATATCGAGAGGAATTGCGTCCCCTGTCAGAATCCTGGTGCTGAAGATGCAACAACAGTTCTCAATAAGAATTTTAATTACAACAAATTGCACGATTTCAACTTGAATACTTGGGATGAATAACATGCAAAATTAAGGGTGAAAAGCGTATCATACAAGTGAGAAGAGATGACACACTCAAACATAAACCAGGACCATAAATGAAGTAGTAAACTGTATAGTTTGCAATTCTTCTATTCTTGGACTTTTCACCTAACTAGGCCAGGATTCAACTTTGCTTTTGTTAAAATTTTTAAACAAAGCAAGGACGTAACAACAAGGTCGTAGACAATTCGTAAAAAATAAGTGTACGGGTCATAATTAGGAAAATCAAGATATTAACTTTCACTTTTGGACTTTAAAATTGACAAAATTTTGAATACAGCAGGACTGAAGTTCTTTTACTTAGTGACTTCTCAAGATCCAATTTTCAGAAAGCAAATCGGCAAGATTAAATTCATGTAGCTTAACATACTCGCAAACTGTCCATGCCCAAAGCAACATAGGAATAATTAACAGTCAGAGAAAACTTTACCGCATCTCTGGATGAAGGTACATCCTCAAAAGACTTGTGTTTCAAATGATCCTGGCGTGGACTAGAACCTGAGGTGTTTCTCCTTGAGAATGCTTCAACTGCACCCGAGAATCTTTCTCGAATCTCTTTCCCAACTGGATAAGCCAATTGCATAAAAGGGTTTAATAATTGTGGGAAACCAAAAAGGAGACTACTGAGCGTAAAATTGTAGTGGAAAGTTAAATAACAAGCTGAAGAAAGGAAACTACACTGAAAAATTTATAGAAAACTAAGTCCTCAAATACTCGATAAATCTTCAAAATTAAGAGGGTAACTGGCATCAAAGCTTAGGACTTATTAGTAGTAAGTTTGGGATATAAGAAACTAAACAGGACATCAAAGTCAAAAGCATACATCAAATCCATAACTTTTTATTGAAATCAAGGTCAATTAATCCGATTCGGCACCTAAATGAAATATATTCTTTGAAGAGAGAGCAACACCTGATCCTCTATCAGGTCTTTCCATAGATGGCCCTGCGCTTAAACCCGCTTTCCCACTGGCATGCTAGAAACAGAGAAAGGAAGTAAGTAAATAACATTCTTATAAGATCAACACTTAAACATAACATTTCCAAACACTAACCCATCCTTTAGAGCTGCCACCAATCTGAGGGTACTTCAACACGGTCCAGTCAAATACATAGTCAAATTGATAACCTGCAAGTAATCATAAAATTATTATCCTGAACCCAAACAGAAAAAGGAAAACACTAACAACTAAAAGAAAAAAAGTTTGTAAATCTAATACAAAATAACCTAATTTGTGAAGATTACCTTCTCGAATAAACAAGTCTCGGAAAAGCCTCTTTAAATAAGAATAATCTGGCTTGTCTTCAAACCGCAATGATCGGCAGTAATGAAAGTAGGATACAAATTCAGCTGGATGAGATCTGCACAGCACCTGTTAAACATATCTGTGGCTATATTATCCATGTTGCAACATTAACAAGAATTCCCAGAACTAGGTGAGAGTCAATAGCAGCAGCATGTAGTGTGTGAGCGCGAGTGTGCATGGAAACATATGCTTGAATACATATCAAGTTATGAACAAACATAAAGCACAGAATTATCTGACTAGGCCTGGTTGAAACAGCCTCTAAACACATTCATTGTCAAAAACCATGCAAATATTGAGCCAGTCAAGAACCCAACCAAAATCAATGGAAGTGCCAGTCTTCCTAGTCGAGACCTTTTTCCATATATGTCCCCATTTCTAATCTTTGGTCGATCTCACCCAAATAAATAAATATTATATATATATATATATATATATATAATATAACACGTGTAAAATGTCCATTCTTGCAACATATGAAGTTGCTAGCAATAAGAATGCATGGAGAAAGTTGTTACCTCTATAGGAGTAGACATTTTCTTTTCACTAATTTTATCGTACTTTTGCTTCTTTGTACCAGCTTTTAAACCTTGCCAGGGAAGGCTGATTGGAGGCAAAAGACAAAAAAGAAAGGAATAAAAAAGTAGAGTAAGATACAATGTAGCATCAAATACTCAAAATCAGATAGCAAATGCCGAAAAAACAAAACACATGAAGAACAAGTGCAAGAACTATACCCTAACCTTCCCCTTAGGAAATACATCAGCACATAACCAAGAGATTCCAAATCATCTCTTCTGCTTTGCTCTAAAAGTGAAATAAAACACAATGAGAATAAGTAGAGCATAGTATGTTGGATCTTTGATTATCCATTTACTGTTATAATTTACATAGTAAATAAAAAGACATAAAATATCTCTCACCAATTCCAAGGTGGGTGTTAACACTTGCATAGCGAGCAGTTCCTGTGAGGTTCTTGTTCTCCCTAACAAATGAAAAAGAAACAAATTTAACTTTCAAAGCAACCACATCAAATCCAACGCTGGCACAAAAGGATCAAAAGTATTAAACATTAAAGTCAAAATCTAATACAAATGGAAGCAGCACAGAGATATGTCGATAATACATTGACAGACAATCCACAGAAACATATTTAACACGAGCAGCGACTTTACAAAAAAAAAAAATCTTCACGAAAAAATTTATCATAATTTGTCACTTTCCAAGTAAAATTTACCTGTATGGTATGTGCTTATGAGTCTGAAGATCCCTATACTTCTTTGCAAGACCAAAATCAATAGCATACACCTGTGACAAATAATGTCCGATATATTACACTTCTAAATAAAAAAGTGTGATTGAAGTGTTAATAAAAAAAGATTTGAAATCCCGCCCCTAATACCATATGAGATCCCCAATAACGAAAAAGTTTCGAGCAAAAGTGTTCCATTAATGCACTAAGTGCTATAATTCGCATAGCAACTGCAGTTAAACAAGAAAAGATACCTGATTGGCTTTACGCCCTAGGCCCATTAAAAAGTTGTCAGGCTTAATATCACGGTGAAGAAAACCTTTCGAGTGCATGTATTCAACTCTGTTAATCTGAAAGATGAAATTGAAAATGTAAAAACGATTATCCTGGCCAACTTAGACAAATTAGATGAAGGATAGTAATTAGTACTTACCAATTGATCTGCAAGCATCAACACTGTTTTCAATGTGAATTTCCTATTGCAGTAGTTGAACAAATCTTCCAAACTTGGTCCAAGAAGGTCAATAACCATGATATTGTAGTCAACCTCAACTCCAAACCACTTGAGGTGGGGTATTCCGGCTTCATCATAAAATGACAATGGTTAGTTGTTTACTATCGGTTATTGGTAAAAAAAACTTATCTGTGAGAGAGTGAAAAGAGAGACTTACTTCCTCCTTGAAGAAGCATATACAATTTTGACTCATAATGAAGCTGGGGATGCTTCGTCTTCACAGGTTCCTGGAATTTGGAAAGTAAACTAGCTCAAATGCATGCAATTATAGACTATTGAATTATATGTAGATGGTACAATAACGAAATGTAACAAGGTTGTACTAGACTGGAACTTTGTGATATCAAAACGCATCCATGACAAATCTTAAATAGAATAAAAGGTTGGCTTCACATACAGAATTTTCGTTGATAACATAACTGAAAAGAAATGAAGAATATAAAGCATGAAGCTTCGAATGTAACTCACATAGAGCTTGTCGAATATGAAATCTAAAGTGCCATTCCTACTCTTATTCTCAAAGATTCAAAAGTGAGTATTCATTTTGTTCTTCGACTTCCTCTAGTGACTAAAGAAATGTTGGACAAAACATGATTTTATTCAACACGTTCATTAAACTGGATAATTCATACGGCTTTCCTGAACCCAAAGTATTGAATTACCAGAAGCTCACAGTCAACGTAACCAAGTCCATTGATGAAGCTACCCATTTATAGCTCAAGCACAAACTATAGAATGTTTAGAAACATTTAGCCAAAAAACAAACATCAGAACTGAATCTACGATTCAAGGATTGATCACATACCAGCTTAACAGCCACCTCTTCTCCGGTTTGTACATTTACACCTAACACCAGAACAGGAATTTTTACAAAACACATGAAATTAACATAACGAATAACTTTCGGCGAAAAAACAGGTAGCAAGCACTGATTACCATACCTAAATAGAGTTCTCCGAAAGAACCACTCCCAATCTTCCTCCCCAACTTAAACTTTCCAGCAATCACATGCTCCATGATGCAACAATATCCGATACGATTTGATCAACAAGCTCAAACCGGCTTTATTTCACAGCAATTTGTGCAAAATTCAGCCTTTATTGTTTGCATAACCCAAAAAGGCCAAACAATAAACCCCCAAATCTCCAACAAAAAATTAAAATTAAAAGATTTTCCTCCGATCAAAACCTTCGATTTTCTCCCAATAACCCCGCCTACGGACCACACGATCACAATCCCAACATTAAATTACCATTAAATGGAAAATAAATACGAAACCCCAGAAAATCCAATTGGGAAATCCGGCTTTATCGACAATACCGACAAAAAAGAGGGCAACTTTTTGGAAAATCAAAGGACCTCTTTTTCTCCAGCTACATATCCAGAACGCCCCAAATCCCAAATCGACGATTACAGACGACGAATTCGAATCCTGAATCACAAGAACATTGACCTACATTGACCTCGAAGCCCTCGATTCAGAAGCCAAAACAAAACAAAATCTTCAAAAATTTGAAATCTGCTGCGAAAATGTACAAGTACCAAATCAAACGAGGATCAATTAGGAGGATTTTTGTTGGGATCGGACAGAGCTAGAGACAAATCGTTTTTTGCAATATGAACGGGAAAGGGAAATTGGCGGAGGAAAATGATGCCTAGAGAGAGAGAGAGAGAGAGAGAGAGAGAGAGAGAGAGATGGGGGAGGGGCGGAATAAGAGGAAGGAGCCTGGAGACGATTATATTTGTTTGTTTTTTTGTTCTAATTTTTTTTTTAATGTTTTTGGAAATTGCAATTTCCTTTTCGATTTTATTTATGAAAATAAATAGGAATTAATCAATTAATTATAAGATAAAAAAGAAATAAAATATGAGGGGTGAAGCGATATCTTCTGAGATTCTGAGCTGCAGCCTAACTCGTTTGGGCTGTCTCTTTGGAACGGGTCACCTCAGGTCAAAAGCAAACTTCAAAATATAAAAATAAACAATTACTAGACGCACGTAATGTTATTATTTGTTAACAATACCTTTGAAAATTCTTTTAATTTTTTGTGAATAGTAAATATTTGGTCAATAGATGCTTTCGGTTCAACCTACCGCTCCTCGAGTTCAAACTCTCATTTTCATTTGGTCTAGAATAACTTAGTGTAAAATTCTATAGTTTGTAAAAATAATCTCTAATTTTCGACAAAACTTGTGTTTTACAATAATATTAAAACAAATAAAAAAAGAAAAAGAAAATTAATTTACATAAACATGCCCGCATTTTCTTATCTTCGGTCTGTAATTTTTTTTTTTTTTTTTTTGTATTTTAGGTAAAAATTAGTTAAAATTTAGATATGTGAGGATCTTCCTGGTCCTGAGTGGGATATTCTCAATATTTTTCTCTCCCTGTCTGTCTTTTCTCTGACCTGGAAGAAGGCCTGTCTGATCTGTTTTTTTCACTATTTTGATAGGAAGTCGGACTTTGTCTCAGGCTCCCAGATACGGAGTTTTGGGCCATCTTTTTTGGGTCAGAGTCTTTGTCAAATTTGGAATAACAACTTACATAAAACGGTGTACGGTAAAGTCGCATTCTGATATGCGAGTGAAAACTATATGTTCGATGTATCGAACACAAATATAAGCGAAAGATGCTATTTTGACGTTTAAAAGTAGGACTTTGTCTCACGCTAATGTAAAGTTTATGGCCTTTTTTTTGGGTCAAAATTTTAGCCCAATTTGGTTTTGGATTTGTGCATCTTTCTCTGTCGCATCTCCAACTCCATTACCCAAAAAAAAAAAAAAAACAAAACAAAACCAATTGGTTGAAAATTTGAATGAAAATAATGTCCAACGAATTGTATTATTACATTTGATGTATTAGATCAGCGTTATCGGAACATAAAAAAATTTCTCAGCCAAAAGGAGTAGGGTAAGGCCTAAGAAGGCTTGCAAAGAGACTTTAAGAAAAAATATGAAATACTTGGGGCTAACGGAAAACTTGGCGCTAAACTGAACACAATAACATTATGAGGTTCATACAGTCGACCCTATTTAATGAAATTAAGCTCGTTGTTTTATTATAAATAAATTCTAAAATGATTAATTGCTTACAAATTACAATTAATTTGGAAAGCAAGTGGAATGCTAAAGAGACTCTCTGAAAAATAAGATTCTTACACTATGTTTGGATGAAGAGATTTAAGATTACTAATGAATTTTAAAATAACGGAAATTGAAATGACAGAATTTTATTTTCTATAATGTGTGAATTTTCTTGTTTGGTTAATTTAAAAGAACAATAGAATTGATTACGGAATTTATTATTTTTAAACTCTCAATCATAGAAATTAGGAAATGACACATATTTACATGAAATTTAAACTTGGGAATTGGAGGTCCTAAATTCCAAGTTTTTTTTCCATGCAGAAATTCTAAATTTCTATGTTTATGAATCCAAACAAGGGAATTGATGTATGTCAATTTATAAATTTTCACTTTTATCTAAATTCCAAGTTTATTTTCCTCATCCAAACATATATTATGTGCCACCAGGTAATATTGTGTCAAAAGTATCAGTGGCTGAGAGTCCACATAGAACCCCGCTTTAAGAGAGTGTCTTACCAGAAAACAATAACTGCCCGGCTTCATCATCTCTATGCCACCTAGTACTTGGAATTGACATATCTGATTTTTGGGATCTGCTCGTTTGTCTGCCGTGTTCCAGGTTCGTGTTCATTTACCATTTCACGTTTCTCATCTTCTCTCTGCGCTTTCCCGTTCAATCCATTAATTTATTTGGGAAATTTTAATTTGATTAATTCTAAACTTTTCACGTCTGTTTAAATTCGAATAATTTTTAATTTTTTTAAATTTCATGAGATCGTAATACTTGTAGCTTCAATGGTACAGCACTTTTTTAAATTGGCTAAGTTCTTAACTTGCACGCATTGAATTATGAAAGCAAACACAAACATAAATTGCCATGCTGACCAAAATATTCAGATTACCAAACCCGACTTGTGATGCTTTTGCAGATAATTAAGCACAAAAATGGCAGGAGCAGGAACTGTTTTCGCTTCTGCTCTGGAAGGGATGAACCAAGTTAAATCCGACTCCGGCGAGATGCTTGCCAAGCCTTTCTTGGATGTCTGCAACCACTTGCTGCCTGTTTTAGGTATGAGGGTTTGATTTTTAACCCGAAAGCGGATTGAATTCAAAGTGTTTTGATGCTGACAAGACCGTGTTTCTCTCGATTCATTGTTTCGATTCCAGATAAGTTTGGAGCTGCCTTCGCACCCGTGAAATCTGATATTGGTAATAACATATCGGTAAGTTGCTCTTTTTAACTTTTTTATAGGTACAATAATGTGACTTTCTGTACAAGCAATCTGTTCTAGGTTTTCTAATGTTTGCAAGGATTTTGATGTTCTTCTCTACATTGCAGAGGTTGGATTCTAAGTATTCGTCGAGCCCGTCAGAGTTTAACCTCTTGTACAGCATAGTTCGAGTTGAGATTGAAGCGAAAACTGCGAAATCTGTAAAACCTTGTTTGAATGACAATGAGATCACAACTGAACTACTTGTATGACGCATAACTGGTTATACTGGTTATGTGAAACACGGGAAGTTTGAGAGCCTTAATGCGATAAGAGTCATGGAGTTACATGTATTGCAGCTGTCCTAGTTTCGATCCTTATCTGATATACACTAGTATATCAAGTCATGATGGGACTAAAACTCTTAGAGATAGAGATCAACACTCCTTCTGTTAATAGGCTGGACTGAGTAGATCTCTATCGATGAATGATTGTATAAATAGTTGAAGTCCCTGCTTCCACACTAAGGCTTCCGAAAGATCTAAAATCCTATTCACTTAGAGAGGAGCATTAACGAGTGTTGGAAGTAGAAGACTTCATCTGTTGATCTCAGAATGGCGATACCTCCAGGTAAGTTATTTTCTTGCACTGCACGGATGGTCTTTCAGTTGCTGCTGCGTATGTGTATATGGTAATCCTAGTGTCGTGTTGGTTTGCTAGGCAGTTGCAGTTTGATTCTTTATATTACTGCTTACATGTGGTATCAGAGCCTACCCAACATGGCTAGGGTTCCTTAATCAATATATGGTTAACTCTCGATACAAATACATGCAAATATGTTTTGATCCTGTGTCATTAAATGCTTCCGCTGCATACTGACAATTGTTTGCATGGCCACTATATGTAATCAACTATTGCTGTGGATACCTCCAGTTGTGTTTGCTATCATGTGCAGAGAAGATCATCTAAAAATGGTTACGATACTGGAATACTCAACCAAGAAGAACTTTTGGATTCACATTCTATTTATCAAAACCAAACGGACAAATAAGATTTGAATCGTAAACAAGGATCTCAACATCTAATCTGCTCAAAAGTGTTTAGTTTGTTGATTTTGGCTTGTTGTCTAAAGAGTCAAACATGTGATTCATCTGTATTAAGTGAATAATAATCTGCTCAAAAGTGTTTATTTATTCAAGTTAAACAATTGAATCAATGTATAGTGAAGTATTGAATTGACAAGATTACATTCTTCATCTGCTCAAAAGTGTTGAAGTTATGTAAACTGCCCTTGTATTCAATATTTTGGCTATGCAAATCTAGTATAAATGGCTTCTGTCCAAAGATGATGCTGTGCTTATACGATTATGTGTCAGGAAAAAGATTAAGTATCATTTTCCGTCTGTTTATTAACACTTAGATGACTAACAACTGTTAAAATTAATGTTTGGTTTTTCCAGCTCCTCACATGACATCCCTCAATTTCAACAATATTGAGACCTTGACCGGTTCTAACTACAAGAAGTGGAAAAAGGATGTTGAAATGGTCCTTGGGCTTATGGATCTCGATTTGGCATTAAGAGAGGAAAAACCTACAGCTATCACTGCAGAGAGCACGGCAGATCATAAAGCAAAGGTTGAGAAGTGGGAGAGAACAAATCGGATGTCACTGATGATTATGAGGAAAGCAATGGCTCCATCAGTTAAAGGAGGTGTTCCAAAACAAGATAATGCAAAAGACTTCTTGGCTGCAGTTGGGGAAAAGTTTAAAGAGTCTGACAAGGCAGAAACTGGGACTTTTCTAACTCAAATTACTTCAATGAAATTTGATGGTGAGGGAAGTGTCAGGGAACACATTCTGAAGATGGTTGATCTTGCTCAAAAGTTGAAAGACCTTGAAGTACCCATGACTGATCAGTTCCTAGTTCATATGGCTTTGAACTCCCTGCCTTCAAAATATGGGCAGCTCAAAGTTTCATATAACACTCAGAAGGTTAAATGGGGCATTGATGAACTGATCACTATGTGTGCACAAGAAGAAGATCGGCTCAGGAGTGACAAATCAGTGGATGTGAATTTTGTACAAGGAGAAAAACGCAAAAGGGACTTCACTCAAGGTTCAACCGTGGCTGCTGGTAAGAAGAAGAAGAAAGAAATTTCTTCTTCATTTAAAAATGCTAACATCATCTCTAAAGGATCTCATAAAATTAAAAATGCTAATGTCGAAACTGAGAAAGAAAAGGAGTGTTATTTTTGCAAAGAAACAGGTCACTTAAGAAAGAATTGCAATGGCTTCAAGAATTGGCTTGTTAAGAAAGGTAATGAAATAAATGTTTTTGTGTGTGTTGAGTCCAATCTAGTTTATATTCCTCCTAATAGTTGGTGGTTTGACACGGGTTGTTCTATTCACATAACCAATTCCTTGCAGGGCTTCTCAAAAACAAGGGTGATAAACAATGAAGTCTACAATGTTTATGTGGGGAATGGGAGCAAAGTTGCTGTCGAATCCATAGGAAGTGTCAAATTAGTTCTTTCCTCTAGCTTTATTTTAGAACTAAGTCCAGTACTTTATGTACCTTCCATGCGAAGGAATTTAATTTCTGCATCTAAGTTAGTTAAGTCCGGCTTTACATTTGTGGGTGACAGTCAAAGTGTAAAGTTTTTCCATTCAAATGACTCGAATAAATTGCTTGGTGAAGCTAATCTCAAAGTTGATATGTGGCAAATGAATTGTACTTATGAGATTGAATGTTTTAATGTTCAAAGTGTTGGTTCTAAACAAGTGCTCTCTCATGCAAAAACCTCAATGCTTTGGCACAAAAGGTTGGGGCACATCTCTAAGGAAAGGATCATCACACTTACAAAACAAGACTTGTTGCCACAACTTGATTTCAGTAACTTTAAAGAGTGTGTTAACTGTTTTAAGGGAAAGCTCACTAATACTAGGAAAATAGGGTCAAACCGTAGCCAATGTCTATTAGAAATCATACACACTGACATTTGTGGACCTTTCCCAATTAAAACCATCTGTGGAAAATCATATTTCATAACCTTCATTGATGATTTTTCACGTTTTGCATATATTTTCCTTATTTCTGAAAAATCTGAAGCCCTGCAATGTTTTAAAACTTTTCATTTGGAAGTTGAAAAACAACTGGACAAACACATTAAGATTGTGAGATCCGATAGAGGTGGTGAGTATTTTGGCAGGTTCACTGAGGCAGGACAACACAAAGGACCTTTTGCAACTTATCTTGAACAAAATGGCATCGTGGCTCAGTACACTACACCTGGGACTCCGCATCAAAATGGAGTTGCTGAACGAAGAAATCGAACCCTAAAAGACATGATCAGATCTATGTTTGCACATTCAAAGCTTCCAATGTTTCTTTGGGGAGAAGCGCTGAAAACTGCAAACTATATATTGAATCGGGTACCAAGCAAGTCCGTGGTCAAGATTCCGTTCGAAGCTTGGACTGGAAGGAAACCGAGCTTTAACCACTTCCATGTATGGGGTTGCAATGCCGAGGCCAGGTTTTATAATCCAACAGAGAAGAAACTTGATCCAAGAACCATCAGTTGCAAGTTCATTGGGTATTCTGAGAAGTCTAAAGGGTATAAGTTCTATTGCCCTAACAGTCACTCGAGGGTCATGGAAACACATAATGCAAGATTTCTTGAAGAAGAGGATGAGACTGACTTCAGTAAATCAGCAGCTTCATCCCCAGTTTTCGAAGAAATCCCACTTGACAGTGAGTTAACTGATCCGCAAGCAACCACCCTCAATATTCCCATGCAGCCACATTCTCTTCATAACGGTTTACCTATATCTCATGAAGATGAGATAGTAAATGAGGACCACATGACCCATGCAGAGGCTCAAGAAAACGAAGTACATGCACCAATACAAACCCCTGGAGAAGATCAGGTAAATGCTCCAGGCACTACAATCTTGGAATTAAATGTTCGAAAATCACAGCGGGTACGAAAAGCAGCATTATTGCCTGATTTCGTGTACCTAAATGAGGCAGAACACACTATAGGTGATGAGGATGATCCCTTGACCTACAATCAAGCCATATCAAGTGCACGATCAACGTTATGGAAACAAGCCATGCATGAAGAACTGGAGTCTATGGAGAAAAACAATGTCTGGAGTCTTGTTCCACAGCCACCTGGGACAACAAAAATTATTGGTTGCAAGTGGGTGTTCAAGACAAAACGAGACTCACAAGGCAACCTTGACAAACACAAAGCAAGGCTAGTAGCGAAGGGCTTCACACAAAGGGAAGGAATCGACTACAATGAGACGTTTTCCCCCGTCTCAACCAAAGATTCCATGAGAATAATCCTAGCTATCACGGCACACTTTGATTTAGAGCTTCACCAAATGGATGTCAAGACGGCATTTCTGAATGGAGACCTTGAAGAAGATATATACATGCAACAAGCACCTGGATTTGTTGAAAGGGGGAAAGAAACGATGGTTTGTAAGTTGAATAAGTCTATATACGGCTTAAAACAAGCCTCGAGGCAATGGAATAAGAAATTTGATCAGGTAATGGCAGCTTCTGGTTTTCAAGAAAACAAAATGGATGAGTGTATTTATTTGAAAGTTCTTGGGTCAAAGGTTATATTCTTAGTGTTGTATGTGGACGATATATTATTAGCTAGCTCCGATATGTCTCTACTACAGACAACTAAGAGTATGCTCATTCAAAACTTTCACATGAAGGACTTGGGGGAAGCTCGATTCGTTTTGGGAATAGAAATTGTAAGAGATCGTGCTAAGAAGTCTCTTGGTCTCTCCCAAAGGCAGTATATCGACAGAGTTACTAAAAGATTCAATATGGACAAGTGTTCGAATGGAGAATTGCCTATTGGCAAAGGAGACAAACTGAGCAGTGATCAATGTCCCAAAAATGAATTAGAGAAGGAAGGAATGAGGGATAAGCCCTATGCATCTCTTGTAGGGAGCCTTATGTATGCCCAGGTATGCACAAGACCGGACCTAGCTTTTGCAGTAAGTGTACTAGGAAGGTTTCAATCAAATCCTGGTACAACACATTGGGTCGCAGCGAAAAAGGTACTGAGGTATCTTAAAAGAACAAGAGATTTCATGTTAACTTACAGTTATGTGGACAAGCTGGAGTTGGTGGGATTCACAGATTCAGACTTGGCAGGATGTGTGGACGACAGAAAATCGACGAATGGTTACATTTTTATGTTGGCTAACGGTGCAGTATCGTGGAAAAGTGCAAAACAGAAGTGTATTGCATCGTCAACCATGGAAGCTGAGTTTATAGGGTGCTATGCAGCAACTCAACAAGCTGTTTGGCTTAAAAACATGGTGAGAGGATTGGAAATCGTTGACAATGTTGATAAGCCCCTCAAGTTGTATTGTGACAACAAAGCTGCAGTTTTCTTTTCAAAGAATAACAAAAGGTCATATGCTAGTAGATTGATGGATATTAAGTACTTAAAAGTGAGAGATGAAGTGAAGAAGGAGACTGTCGAAATTGAGTACATCCACACAAGCTTAATGGTAGCTGACCCGATGACAAAGGCCTTACCAGTGGGAGTCTTCAAGAAACATGTCTTCAACATGGGAGTGAGAGAACTCTTTGATTCTGTTGATGAGTGGGAGTAAGCTCTCCATGAACTACGTAGGTTTTATTGCAGTTATCTTTATTGTTATTGTCGACAGTTGTTAATTATTATTGACTTGTTTGAATAGCTGATTGTGCTTTGACAAACGACTTTGGTACTGGAATCATTTCAGTTTGTTATGTGGAACTGATATCTGACGGTACAAATTATCAGTTCTCAACATCATGACTCGCAAAGGTGGCATAGTGTTTTCATGATAAATATGTATGTGATCACAGAGTGCAAAGTGCAAGCAATGCGTGCTTTGTTTTCTGTGGTCCTATATTTTTCTTGAAAATGACAAGTCACTGAGTAGGATCAGTTGCAGATTTTGTTTGTGAACTCAATGATCATCGTGATTCTTATTGTGTTGAGGCATATCATTGACATTCAAGTGGGAGAATGTAAAACCTTGTTTGAATGACAATGAGATCACAACTGAACTACTTGTATGACGCATAACTGGTTATACTGGTTATGTGAAACACGGGAAGTTTGAGAGCCTTAATGCGATAAGAGTCATGGAGTTACATGTATTGCAGCTGTCCTAGTTTCGATCCTTATCTGATATACACTAGTATATCAAGTCATGATGGGACTAAAACTCTTAGAGATAGAGATCAACACTCCTTCTGTTAATAGGCTGGACTGAGTAGATCTCTATCGATGAATGATTGTATAAATAGTTGAAGTCCCTGCTTCCACACTAAGGCTTCCGAAAGATCTAAAATCCTATTCACTTAGAGAGGAGCATTAACGAGTGTTGGAAGTAGAAGACTTCATCTGTTGATCTCAGAATGGCGATACCTCCAGGTAAGTTATTTTCTTGCACTGCACGGATGGTCTTTCAGTTGCTGCTGCGTATGTGTATATGGTAATCCTAGTGTCGTGTTGGTTTGCTAGGCAGTTGCAGTTTGATTCTTTATATTACTGCTTACAAAATCCTCATCTAGTTGCACAAATGCTCTACTCTGGCTAACAAGGTATGTCGTGTTCGTGTTGCATGTTTTCCACCTGCAAGTCAAACCTTGTTTCGTTGAGAACTGAATGTGCTTGATTAGGGCTATGGATTACTTGGTAGAGCTGTTTCGCAATCTGCATGATAATCCGGATTGGCCAATGCCGAAGGCTTGCAACGAAGCGTACGGCAAGACGCTGAAGAAATGGCATAACTGGCTGTCCAGCTCAAGTTTTAGTGTAAGAACTCTCACTCCCTTTTCAATTAGATATGCATGCTCTTCGTCATTCTTCGGTGCGATTAACTGCACTTTTTAAGTTTTTCGGCGACATATGCGGAAGCGTAATTTTTTTGAGTTGTTTGATTGAAATGCAGGTTGGGATTAAGCTTGCTCCGGAGAGGAAGAAATTCATGGACATATTAGGTGGTGAAACTCCTGAATTAAACTCTGATATGGGGAAATTCTGCGCGAACTTCTCTCCGCTCCTCGAAGAGAATCATAGGTTCTTGGTAAGGTTTTTCGTGTTCGGGCAACATGGTTTGGTTCGAATTTGCGTAATCGGGTTCTGATTAAGTTTTGTGTTCTTAATCTTTTTGCAGGAGTCTGTTGGATTGGACAGTTTGCAAGCTTGACGCATGTTCTAAATGAAAGTTGATTATAAGTTGTATGTGTAATTTATGTATAAAAAAAAAATTGCATTTGCTACCAAATACAGCGTTGCAAATGATTTGTAATTAAAGTGGTTAAAAGTATTTATTCTTACAATAGTGGTCGTAGGTTCGATTTCCTCTCTCAATTGTCGCTTGTACAAAAAAAATTAAAATGTATTTAATTAACCTAATTTACCACTAAGCTCCAATGGGACAACAATTTGATTCATTTATTTCTGTTTGATGACAATGATCTAAGCCAAAAGATCAAGATATTAAAAGGTTTTTTAAGCCTAACTAAAGTAAGAATTCTATACCAATTAAGTTATAAGTTAGGGTAAAGTACAAAAAACTACCTTAACTATTAGTGTCACGACACTTTTATACCTCATCTTTTAAAATTGACAATGTCGTACCTCATCTTACGAATTTGTGTCAATGTTATACCTTCCGTTAACTTGGCCGTTTATTTTTCAGTTAAATGCTGATGTGTCTTGATCTGGGACCTATTTTTTATTAAAAAATTATTAAAAGCTAAAAAAAATCATTTAATATTTTTTAAATATTAAAATAATAAAGAAAAATTATTTAAAAAAAATCAATATCAGTTCGTTCCCTTCCCCCCTTTCTCTCTCTTCTCCCATCATCTTCTTCCCCATTTCTGCAACTGCAACCCAGAAAAAAAAGCAGAGAAAAAAAAAAACCCAATTTGTTTTCCCCACTCCCCACCCCCTCTTCTCCCCGCACCCACTATCCACACCCAACCTCCCCACCTTTGCACCCACCCTCTGCATCCAACCTCACATCCATTACCTGCAACCCAAAAAAAAAAAAAACCCAGATCCCATTGAGGTGAAATTGGGAAACCTTCGCCAGGCTGATTTCGAAGGTTGAGAACCTAGGCGCGGAGAAAATTGGGGGGGGGGGGGATGGGTGTGGAGGGAAGAGGGTGGGTGTGGGGGTACGGATGAACTGGGGTTTTTTTTTTCCTTCCTTCTCTCTTCTTCTTCTTCTTTTTCTTTTTTTTTCCTTCCTTCTCTCTTCTTCTTCTTCTTTTTCTTTTGCAGGGTGGGTTGGGGGGGGGGGGGAGATGGGTGTGGAGGGAAGAGGGTGGGTGTGGGGGTACGGATGAACTGGGGTTTTTTTTTTCCTTCCTTCTCTCTTCTTCTTCTTCTTTTTCTTTTGCAGGGTGGGTCTTCTTCTTTCTTCTTCTTCTTTTTTCTTCTTCCTCTTCTTCTTTTTTCTTCTTCTTCCTTCTCCTTTGGGTTGGGTTGGGGTTGTTTGTTTGTTTTTTTTTTTTTTTCTTCATCTTCCTCCTCCTTCTTTCTGGGTTGTAGGGGGTTGGGTTTGTGGTGGGGGGAAAGGAGACGAACTGGGTTTGGTTTGGGGTTTTTTTTTTTTTTTTTTTCCTCTTCTTCTTCTTATTCCTCCTCCTTCTTCTTTCTGGGTTGCAGGAAGATGGGAAGAGAGAAAGGAGGGAGGGACAAAAGGAGAGGTTTATTTTATACTTTTTTGTGTACTTTTTTATTATTATTTTATTATTTAAATAATATTAAATATTTTTTTTTGTTTTTAATAATGTATTATTAATTTTTTAATAAAAAATGGATCCCGGATCAAGTCACGTTAGCATTTAACTGAGAAATAAACGGTCAAACTAACGGAAGGTATAACATTGACACAATTTCTAAAGATGAGGTATGACATTGTCAATTTTAAAAGATGAGGTATGAAAGTGTCGTGACACCAATAGTTGAGGTAGTTTTTTGTACTTTACCCTATAAGTTATAACTAATGATACTGTCACATAAAACTTCTTGGTGCAACTTAACTCGGGTCAATCTGAAAGCTTCCAAATCATCCCGTGCAGACATTACTCTATCTACAATGATTGTAATTTCCAAGGAGTGTGCTATCTATACACCCCATTTTACTTCTCACACACCCATTGATAATTTCTGTTCGTTAATCTTCTTTAATTCATCTAATCCGACGGTTGAAAATTAAAAAAATGTGTAAGAAATAAACTAAGGTGTGGATATTACATCCCATTTCTAAACATAAGAAACGTGTTATTGTGAGGAGAAATTCTTTGATTCGAATACCAGATCAGATGAACATACAGCCACACACAAAAAACACATACCTACCCCACCAGCCCCCTGATTTTTCACTCAATTCCGGTCCCATTATGTGCCAATGAGCTCACAAACAACGGCGGCCGCACCGAAAACCTTCTCCATTATAAGGTACAGTGGACCAATTTTCACTTTTCGGTAAGACCCAGGGCAATGAAATAAAGGGGTAGGTATAACGTTTTGGGGGCTTAATGCTCATAACGTCTGTGGTACCAATTTTACTGCTGCATTCATAACTACACTGCGACTCAAAAAAAGAAAAGAAAAAGCAATGGACTTTAAGTCTTGAAGTCTTTGAGTCTTCTACCAAGTAAACGTTTAGGATCAGTCGTGCACGAACACAAAACATTCATCTCATTCTTATTGTTAATGTATTATGGGTCTGACATACATTAATGATCAAAATCAATTATTGAACGCATACTTATGACCAAAGCACTTATCTTGCTCCAATATCCTACAAACCCGCTACGTGAAATCCGACTCATGTAGCCAGGGATCCAAATGCATGTGTTACATCTAGAAGTACGTAGCCATTTTCTCTTCAAGTAATTTCCACCCAAGAAAATAGCCAACCAACAATACAAGTTCATAAGCATCTACCATTCATTACAGCCTCTAAAACGACAAATCCCCCCCTATATTTAGCATGTCAAAGATTTTATTTTCACTCGAACTTTCGCACCGGAAAATTCGACGTTCTTCTGGTTGACAATTATAGGGTTAGGGAAAAAAGAAGAATGCATTACCATCGAATTAACGAGATAAGCGATGGGTTTACTTTAATTAAGCATAATTTGTTTTTCAGTTCATCCCTTTTCTCATCACTGCCACCCTCAATGCCACATTTGTCAAAAGTTGTTGTTCGTTTTTGAACACCTTTTTCCCTTTCTTCTAAAGTTCTCCCCATCTCGTGTGCAAATTAATAGAAGAAAGTGAATGTTCTTAGTTTCTTAGGGAGAACAAAAAATTATAGTTCTGAATGTCGCCTCCTCGCATATGGGCCTGTAAAATACGGCCTTGCATCAAGGTATCGACATCGAAATGCAGAGAAATATCATTTTTTGTTGTCATTTCTTTTATCAACAAACTGTCGTCTATGAGATTTGAATTTGAAACAGAATGACAGATTTCGGTCCTGTTTGCATTAGCCCCTTTGTGTTGTTTCTTTTGATTTTCGATTATTAACATCTTCTTCCTCTATTGTGAATTTTATAGAGTGGGAGGACAAATTTTGGATTCTAAATCTAGTAGGGAATTCCCAAGAGTAGTTTTAATTGGTTTGTTTAATTAGAATGGCGGCGAAAGATGCAAATAATGGCAAGATGGTGGTGAAAGATGCAAATAATAACAAGATGAAGGGCCTCTTGAAAGGACTAAGATACATTTCTCAAATATTTGGTACGTATAAAATTGGAAGAAGGTTGCAATAAGAGTGATTTTTAGGTGCACTTTGATAATTTTCTCAAAGAAATTGCCATTCCTTTTAGCAGATGAAAACAAAGACCAAGAAATGCAGATTGGACTTCCTACGGATGTAAAGCATGTGGCTCATATAGGATGGGATGGCCCTTCAACTGCTACTTCACCAAGCTGGGTAATTAACTATTTTTCTTTTTATTATCAACAATTATCGTCTACAAGATTTGAACTCCGCTCCTGACCTTCTTTCTGGCAAAGTGGAGGCTGGGAGCCGCTAGACGAGATCATCATGTGTTTTTTTTTTCATGCAGATGAATGAGTTTCAAGCTCCACCCGGATTTGAACAATCACCACCTTTAGCCAATGGAGAGACGAAAGAAGATTCTAGGGTCAAATGGGTCTCCGAAGGTACATTTTTTTTTTTGGTGTGTCTAAAATCACAAACTATGAAAATGTAGGTGGTTTTGGTTGGCATGTTAATGTCGTAAACGTACGTAGATTCGAGCCGGAAAGGTTCAAGGGGTGCAAGGTCACCAGGGCATGACGTGCCGGATTTACCCAAGTCGTCAAGGCGGCATTCATCAAACGGGCACGGAGGTGGTGGACCGGATTCTCCCAGGAGGGGAAAATCAGATAAACCGAAGCAAACAAGGCGGTCTTCTAAGAATAGGGACACATCGGATAGTAGTATTAGAGGCATCCGGCAATCCACGGATCCAAGTCAAGGCAGCGAATCGCCGCAAAACCTACCGGACATCCCTAAGAAAACGCAGCGGAAGAAGTCGAAGGACTCATCCGTTGGGGGGACATCAGGGTCAAGAAGATCTAAACACCATGCTAGTTCAGAGGCATGTACTTCTCCTGGACACCAATCCGCAACCATTTCTCAGAATTCTTTTTAAGTGTGGGAAAACAAGGGATTTACATGAATTTCTTCACAGTGTTGATTATTGTTGTAGCTAGAATCTTTAATCTGGCTAGCTATATAAAATGTATCACGGAAGTGAAGCCAAAGAATTGTAATTTTCAGCCAAATAATATTTTACTTCATTTTTTTTTCGTAAAAAATGAATTCGTTAGAAATCCAGACAGCATTATCAAATCATCCTTACATCACCTCTCATAATAGTAAGGGCCAGTTTGGTATTGGATTTGGATCCAATATTTTTAACTCAAAAATAAGTTTTGAGTCACAAATTAAAATCTATGTTTGGTATTTGATTTGAAAACAATTCTCAAAATTCCAACTCAAAAATATTTGAAAACAAAGCCTATTTGTTGAAAACACAAAATGTATGTTTTTTAGACTTTTTTTTTTTGGAGATTCAGCCACTCCCGTCTCTCTCTCTCTAACCATATCTCACAGAGGCCTGCACTGGTGTGCACTTGATTTCTTAACAAAGCTAACTCCTCAAATTTCCAATTGTTGCAAATCTCGAAAGACCAAGTCTACCGTGTCCCGCCGCCAACCTGCTACAAGAACTACACTCGCCAAAACCCTTCTTCTACGGTCTTCGGCCTCATTCCACCCTCATCCTGTTGGAAATTCAAATCAAAACAAGTTGCTATTGTTGAAAATCAATGTCAAAGTTAGGCATTGAAAGTTAGGCAATGTTAGGTATGGTTGAATAAAAATTATTAGGTGCAATTAATGTGTTTTGTGTGGTAATAAATAATCTTAGTTTAATCATTTGGTTTGCTATAAATACCCAAGTTCTCAAGCATTGTAAATCATCCCATCAAAATCCCATTTCTCATTCTCATTTTAAGCTTGTAAGCTATAGAGTTTGTAAACTCTCTTTTCATATATCAAAGTCCAAGTGTTTTATCAAAGCTTGTTGCTTCCCTCCTTTCTCTATTTCTTTGTCCAATTTTATTTGAGAGTGCAAAGTGAAAGAGGTGTGATAGAGTTTGTAAACTTATCACCCACATATTTTGGTATTGAGTTAGTAAACTGTCAAATACCAACAATTGGTATCAGAGCCAGAATACCATTCTGGCAGGTGCAGCAGTTATGGCGTCCAACTTAGTGCAACTCCAAGTTCCCACATTAAAGAAAGAAAATTATGAAAGATGGTGCATCCAATTCAAAGCATTGTTTGGATCACAGGAGCTATGGGAAGTTGTCAGTAGTGGGTATGTTGTACCCACTGCCGAGCAAGAAGCCGTATCTACTGCGGATCAAAGGAACACTCTCAAGGACTTACGAAAGAAGGACCAAAAGGCGCTGTATCTTCTATACCAGGGTTTGGAAGATTCAACGTTCGAGAAGGTTGCAGAAGCAACAACGAGCAAACAAGTATGGGATACACTCAGTACAATCTACAAAGGAGTAGATCGAGTCAAGAAAGTGAGGTTACAATCACTTCGAGCAGATTTTGAAACTGCTCATATGAATGAAGGGGAGAGCATCTCCGACTATCACTCAAGGCTCATTGTGATAGTAAATCAGATGAGGAGAAATGGCGAGAGACTCGATGAAGTACGAGTTGTGGAGAAGATACTCCGGTCACTCACATCTAAGTTTGAGCATGTGGTGACTGCCATTGAGGAATCCAAGGATTTGGAGGTGATGAGCGCAGAAGAGCTACTAGGATCCCTCCTAGTTCACGAGCAACGCATTCAGAAGAATGCAAGCCCCACAACGCTAGAGCAAGCTTTGGAGTCAAAGTTGAATATTGACAAACCAAATAAAGGTCGTGGGCAGTGGAACTCACGTCGTGGGAGCCCATCCAACCGTAGCCGAGGACGAGCCCGAGGAAGAGGTCGAGGCTATGCACAAAATCAAGGTCAGTCTCAGGAGTGGAGATCTACTCGAGGAAAGGCGCATATCCAGTGTCACAACTGTAAGCAATATGGACATTATGCCAATGAATGTTCACATAAAAATGGTGAGCATGTCAACATGGCAGAATCAAGTGGAAATACCGATGAAGAACTTACAGTCTTACTAGCACACCATGATTCCAGTAGCCAACAAGATGTTTGGTATTTGGACTCTGGTGCAAGCAATCACATGTGTGGAAAGAAGGAGTTTTTTGCCGAACTCAAAGAAGGGGCCTATGGATCTGTAAGTCTTGGTGACTCCTCAAAGTTGCCAGTTGAAGGCAAAGGGAAGATCAAGATCATCCAGAAGGATGGAAGAGAAGAATACATCTCCGATACCTACTACATACCAGGTATGAAGAGCAACATTCTGAGCATTGGTCAACTGCTCCAGAAAGGGTACATTATACATATGGAGAACATGCTTCTCACTCTCAGGAATGCAAGGAGAAAGCTTATTGCACGTGTTCGAATGTCAAAGAACCGGATGTTTCCGTTGAATTTGAACACAAAGATTGGAAGCTGCAACATCGGTGTAATGGAAGATGAGTCATGGAAATGGCATCTTCGACTTGGCCATCTTAATTTCAATGGCCTAAAGTTGCTGTCAAGTGGAGGAATGGTTCGTGGTCTACCCCAGATTGAAGCCACACGCCAAGTATGTGAAGGTTGTGTGCTTGGCAAGCAAGCACGACTATCGTTCCCTGTTGGTGATACATGGAGAGCAAAGGCACCACTGCAGTTGGTGCACACAGATATATGTGGTCCATTGGATCCCATGTCTTATGGAGGAAATAGGTATTTTATTACCTTCATTGATGATTTCAGTAGAAAGACTTGGGTCTATTTTCTCAAGGAGAAGTCAGCTGCCCTAAAAATTTTCAAGGAGTTCAAGGCACTCACAGAGGCAGAAAGTAACCACAAGCTTGTGGCTGTGAGATCAGATAGAGGTGGAGAGTACACCTCCAATGCTTTCCAAGCATACTGCAAGGAGCAAGGAATTAGGCATCAACTTACTGCTGCCTACACCCCACAGCAAAATGGGATAGCCGAAAGAAAGAATCGAACCATCCTTGACATGACAAGGTCCATGCTTAAGGAGAAGAATTTGCCAAAAGAGTTATGGGCAGAAGCTGTAGCTTGTTCGATTTATTTGTTGAATCGATGTCCAACAAAGAGTGTCAAGAGGATGACACCACAAGAGGCTTGGAGTGGATACAAGCCGAATGTTACACACCTAAGAATTTTTGGGTGTGTTGCATATGCTCAAGTTCCAGAAGCCAAGAGGAGGAAACTTGATGATAGAGGTGAGAAATGTGTGTTTGTGGGCTATAGTGAAGAGTCCAAGGCATACAAGCTCTACAACCCACTAACTGGCAAACTAGTGGTTAGTAGAGATGTCATCTTCAGTGAGGAAGAGACATGGACGTGGAACAACAAAGAAGTCAGTAAAGAGAATATCGTCTCCACTGATTTTGAAGAACCAGAAGTTGTACCACCGATTGAGCAACAACCTGCTCAAACAATCACAACAACTCCAGTGCACAGAATTGCAAGGAGTGGTCCTACATCTAGTGAGGAAAGCAGCTCCTCAACTCCAGTGAGGTTAAGGAATCTCACAGAGATTTATGGACAAGAAGAAGAAGAAGAAACCAACCTTTTCTGCTTGTATGCAGACCACGAGCCTTTCTCATTCAATGAAGCTGTGGAAGAAGATTGTTGGAAGAAAGCCATGGAAGAAGAGATCCATGCCATCGAGAAGAATGACACTTGGGAGCTGACAAAGCTCCCACCAAATCAGAAGGCTATTGGTGTCAAGTGGGTTTACAAGATCAAACGCACTGCAGATGGGAGTGTGGATCGATACAAATCAAGGCTTGTAGCAAAGGGCTACAAACAGAAGTATGGAGTGGACTATGATGAAGTCTATGCTCCAGTTGCGAGACTTGACACGGTAAGATTGCTAATCTCTCTTGCCGCACATCATAAATGGAAAATTTATCAACTAGATGTCAAGTCAGCCTTCCTTAATGGAGTACTTGAGGAAGAAGTGTACGTGGAACAACCGGAAGGCTTCCAAGTACAAGGAGAAGAAGATAAGGTGTATCGTTTGAAGAAGGCTTTGTACGGCCTCAAGCAAGCACCACGAGCTTGGAACTCAAGGATCGACAACTACCTTCACCAAAATGGATTTCAGAAATGTCCATACGAGCATTCAGTTTACATGAAGAATGGTGAAAAAGGGGAGTTCTTAATTATTTGTCTCTATGTAGATGATTTATTGTTTACAGGAAACAATGAGGCAATGTTCCATGAGTTCAAGCAATCCATGTTCAGTGAATTCGAGATGACTGACAATGGATTAATGTCATACTTTCTTGGCATAGAAGTGAAGCAAGAAAGTGATGGTATCTACATCTCTCAACAAAGGTACATGAGAGACATATTGAAGAAGTTCAATATGGACAAGTGCAACACTGTCAATACCCCAGTCGCAACTGGATTGAAGCTGTCCAAAGGAGGAGAGAGTGAGTTTGTAAACTCAACAGTGTACAAAAGCCTCGTTGGAAGCCTAAGGTACCTTACAATCACAAGACCTGATATAGTTTATGGTGTTGGACTCGTGAGTCGATACATGGAAACACCAAGGGAGTCTCATTGGCTGGCCGCCAAGAGAATTTTGAGGTACATAAGAGGTACTCTAAACTATGGTCTATTTTATAATTTTGGTGAAGATGCAAAATTATTTGGTTATTCAGATAGTGATTGGGGAGGTGACCAAGATGAAAGGAAAAGCACAACTGGCTATGTGTTTTTTCTAGGATCAACAGCTTTCTCATGGACTTCAAAGAAGCAATCAATTGTTGCTTTGTCATCATGTGAAGCCGAGTATGTTGCTGTAGCCTCAACCGTGTGTGAGGCAATTTGGTTAAGAAATCTGTTGAAGTCAGTGTGTCATCCACAAGTGGAATCGACTGTGATTCACGTAGATAACGTGTCTGCAATCAAACTTGCAAAAAATCCTGTTCAACATGGAAGGAGCAAGCACATTGATACCAGGTTCCATTTTCTAAGGGACCATGTGAAGCAAAAGACAATTGAACTTGTCTACTGTCACACCAAGGAACAAGTGGCAGACATCTTCACAAAGCCATTGCCAATTGAAACATTCCGGCTACTGCGTGAAATGCTAGGAATGAAGGCGTTTTGATTTGAGGAGGTGT